GAATGTTCCAACTTGAAAAGAATGTGTATTCTGCTGCTTTCGGATGGAATGCTCTCTACATATCAATTAAGTTCATTTGGTCTAACATGTTATTTAAGGCTTGTGTTTCCTTATTGATTTCTGTCTGGATGATTTGTCCATTGATGTAAGTGGGGTGTTAAAGTCCCCTACTATTATTGTGTTATTGTTGATTTCTCCTTTTGTAGCTGTTATATTTGCCTTATATATTGGGGTGCTTCTAAGTTGGGTGCATATATTTATAACTGTTATATCTTCTTCTTGGATTCATCCCTTGATTATTGTGTAGTGTCCTTCTTTGTCTCTGGTAACAGTCTTTATTTTAACGTCTATTTTGTTTGATATAAGTATTGCTATTCTGGTTTTCTTTTGATTTCTATTTGCATGGAATACCCTTTTCTATACTCTTGCTTTCAGTCTGTATGTGTCTCTGGATCTGAAGAGTCACTTGTAGGCAGAATATATATGGGTCTTATTTTCTTATCCATTCAGCCACTCTATGTCTTTTGTTTGGAGCATTTAGTCCATTTACATTTAAGGTAGTTATCTATATGTATGTTCTTATTCTCATTTTGTTAATTGTTTTGGATTTGTTTTTGTATGTGTTTTCCCCCCTTTCTTCTTTTGTTCTCTTGTGATTTGATGACTATCTTTGGTGTTATGTCTGGATTCCTTTTTCTTTTTGTGTGTATATCAGAGATTTTTGGTTTGCAATTACCATGAGGTTTTTGTAACAGAGTCTCTCTCTCTCTCTCTCTCTCTCTCTCTCTCTCTATATATATATATATATATATATATGATTGTTTTAAGTTGTTGATCTCTTAATTTCAAATGCATTTTAGATACTCTGCATTTGTACTCTCCTGCCCTCACAATTACTGCTTTTGATGTCATATTTTACATCTAATTGTTCTGTGTATCTCTTAACTGCTTATTGTGGATACAAATGATTTTTACTACTTCTGTCTTTTAACCTCCCTACTGGCTTTGTGTTTGGATGATTTCCTACCTTTACTGTAGGTTTGCCTTTACCATGAGTTTTTCCTTTCATAATTTTCTTGTTGCTAGTTGCAGACTTTCCTTTTTGGCCTAGAGAATCTCCTTTAACATTTGTTGTAAAGCTGGGTTGGTGGTGCTGAATTCTTTTAGCTTTTGCTTGTCTATAAAGCTTTTGCTTTCTCCCTGAAATCTGAACAAGAGCCTTGCTGGGTGGAGTGTTCTTGGTTGTAGATTTTCCCCTTTCATCACTTTAAATATATCCTGCCACTCCCTTTTGGCCTGCAGAGTTTTCTGCTGAAAAATCAGCTGATAGCCTTACGGGAGTTCCCATGTATGTTATTTGTTGCTTTTCCCTTGCTACTTTTAATATTCTCTATCTTTAATTTTTGTCATTTTGATTACAGTGTGTCTTGGTGTCTTCCTCTTTGGGTTAATCCTGCATGGGACTCTGCAATTCCTGGACTTGGGTAACTATTTCTTTTCCCATGTTAGGGAAGTTTTCAGCTGTTATCTCTTCAATATTTTCTCAGGCCCTTTGTCTCTCTCTTCCCCTTCTAGGACCACTACAATGTGAATATTAGTGCATTTGATGTTGTCCCAGAGGTCTCTTAAACTGTCCTTATTTCTTTTCATTCTTTTTTTCTGTTCAGCAGCAGTGATTTTCAGTATTCTGTCTTTCAGCTCACTGATCCATTCTTCTGTATCATTTAGTCTACTATTGATCCCTTCTAGTGCATTTTTCATTTCAGTTATTGTATTCTTCATTTCTGTTTGGTTTTTCTTTATATTTTCTAACTCTTTGTTAAAAACTTTCTAACTTTTCACTCTGTGCATCCATTCTCCTCCTGTGTTCTTTGATCACCTTTACAACCATTACTCTGAACTTTCTCAGGTAGATAGCCTACTCCACTTCACTTAGTTCTTCTGGGTTTTTATCTTGTTCCTTCGTCTGAAACATTCCTCTGCTGCTTCATTCTGTCATAGGTTGCTATTTGCATTTTTGTGTATGTGGTAGGTTAGTTACATTTCTCAACTTTGGAGAAGTAGCCTTTTGTAGGAGACATCCTATGCATCCCAGCAGTGCACTCCCCTTTCATCACTCAAGCTATATGGTCTAGGGGTCCCCCTAAGAGGGCAGTGTGGGTCCTTCTTTTGTGTTGGGCTGACTATGTGGGTGGCCTGGCAGGCTTGGCTGGCTCTTAGTCCAGTTGGTTGCCAGGCCCTGTCTTGTGTGGATGCTGCTGGCTGCTGTTTAGCGGGGCCTGGTCATGAGGCAGCTGGCTGCAGAACTCTATGGGGCCCTGCGGCTAGTGTTGGCTTACTGCTGAGCGGAGTCAGGGTTCTGAAGACACTGGGGCTATTGCCTACCCACTGGCAGGTGAAGCTGGATCCTGGGGTTAGTGCTGGACTATTGGCAGGCAGAGCTCGTTCCTGGTCTGACTGCAGGGCCCAGGGATCCCAAAGCGTGTTTCGTATCACTGGCTGGTGGGGGGTGTGGGGGGCAGTTCCTGACACAGTTGGGTATAGTGTGTGGAGTGTCACAAAGATTGCGTTGGCATGCTAGTGGGCAGGGGCAGGGCCCAGCTTGTCTCAGGGTCAGGTCTGGCTTGCTGTTGGCGGGCTTGGTCTGCAGGCTGAAGGACTGTATTTTTCTGCTACTGGCATGTGGCCCCTGTTGGGTGAGGCTAGTCTAGAGACTAGTATAGGCTTCCTGGTGGGAAGGGCTGGTGCCTGCCTACTGGTGGTTAGAGGTGGGTCTTGGCTCTCTGGTGGGAAGGGCCATGTCTAGTGGTGTGTCTGGGTCAGAAATCTTTAGGCAGACTTTCTGCTAATGGGTGGGGCTATTCCCCACCCAGTTAGTTGTTTGGCCTGAGGCATCATTGGCACCTACAGGCTGTTGGGTGGGGCCAGGTTTTGGCACTAATGAGCTAAGATGGCAGCCCCCAGCAGAATTTACACATTTGAATATTTCCCAATATCTCTGCCACCAATGTCTATGTCTCCAGGTTGAGCCATAGCTGCCCCGTCTCTCCAGGAGACTCTCCAAGACCAGCAAGTAGGTCTGGCCCAGGCTCCTATCAAATTAACGTTTTTGCTCTGGGTCCCAGTGCACATGAGATTTTGTGTGCACCCTTAAAAGCGTGAAGTCTCTTTCCCCCAGTCTTGTGAGGCTCCTGCAATTAAACCCTGCTGGCATCAAAGCCAAATGCTCTGGGGGCTTGTCTTCCTGGTGCCAGACCTCCAGGCTGGGAAGCCTGCCATGGGGTTCAGAACTCTTACTCCTGTGGGAGAACCTCTGCAGTATAACTATTCTCCAGTTTGTGGTTCACCCACCCAGGGGGTATGGGATTTGATTGTATCACGAGTCTGCCCCTCCTGCCCACCTCGTTGTGGTTCCTTCTGTATGTCTTTAGCTGTAGAAGATCTTTTCTGGTAAGTTCCGGTCTTTTTCGTTGATGGTTGTTCTGCAGATAGTTGTGATTTTGGTGTGCTCATGAGAGGAGGTGAGCTCAGGGTCTTTCTACTCCACCATCTTGGCAGCTCTCCTAAATCACACTTTTCACCAACTATTTGCCAGGGTGTGTCACTTAACATACTCATTTAATCCTCACAACAACCCTATGAGGGAAGTAACGTTACAATCCACATTTTAGAGATGACAAAATTGAGACTTAAGGAAGAAAAGTGCTCTGCTGAGACCATATACTAGGATTTAAACTCTGGTCTTCTGATTCCAATCTTAAACAGCAATGTTATGCTGCCTCTACTTATAGCAAAAAAAAAAAAAAAAAGTTAAAATTTGTCTTTAATCAGGAATTACTGATTCCTTACTGATTAAATTTCTAAATAAGTGAGACAACCTCTGAGAAGTACCTGGTGCGGGACTTGACACATACTGGGAAGAACAAAAGATCATTTCTTATTCATTCAACACATGTTTACTGAACACCTACTGGGTAAGCCAGACAGTGTTCTAGCCAGTGGTGAACAAAGCTAAGTCCTTGCTCTACAAGTTTGTATTTCTTTCCTGATGTGTTTATAGATCATAACTACACAAACAGTAGGTAAATCTGTTGACACTTAGAAAATATTATCTGAACTGCCATTTTAGGCTTAAATACTAATAGGTCACTGTATAAGCTATACTAATAGGTCACTGTGTAAGCTATACCCCTAAAGCCTCAATGAAATTCCTCAATTTCTCCACCAGGGACTGTGCCCTGATCAGCCTGCTGAAATGCACACCTTGGCCTCAAGAGGGACTTGAGGAATGAATGAATCCATTACAGCCATTCCCCAGGCCTAGGAATCATCTTAAAGCTATTCAGCTGTTATGGAGCACATAGGCACGCTTCATATTAACTGTAAAACATGAAAAATAGGGGAAAATTTTAAGTGTGGTCCTAAAGAAAGAACCTTGATACAAAAAGGACTAGGATGGCCTTGAGAATGACCCCCATTACTTTAAAGCAGTTAGCTAATCTTTCCTTCAAGACTTGGGTAATGGATAAACAACAATATCCTATTTATAGCACAGGGAACTCTATTCAATATCCTATGATAAACCATAATGGAAAAAAATATTACAAAAAGAATGTATATATACATGTAACTGAACCACTTTGCTGTACAGCAGAAATTAACACAACATTGTAAATTAACTATACTTAAATTAAAAAAAAAGAAAAAGACTTGGCTAAACACATCCTCTGTAAAGCCAGAATGGAACTCCTTCAGTACAATTAGTGAGCCCTTGCTCTGGGTGCCTCCACGGCACTTTGTGATGCCATATAATGTGGTCAGCAACATGTCTGTGCCCTCAGGGAAGTACTCGGTGCTCAAAAAAGTTGGAAGAATGGGCTTTCCTGTTTTAAAATAAGGCTAATCTTCTCTAGCTTTAAGTAGAATGATGCTGTGAAGATAAATAAAATGATGTTAAAAAAAATGAAAGACCAGAAAAATTAAACATATAGGTTTCTTACCTTTAAAGATAGGGATCCAGCTAGAAAAAAGTGGTCTATATCAATAACAGAGGCTAAAAATCCAGCTAAGACGATTTCTCCAATGTCAGTCTTCTTCTTGATTCCAATGACTATTGCCCATGACCACATGCCAATCACGCAATGTACTGAATTATCTGAGAGTGCACGAAGCCAGTCATTTCGTTGAATTATGGAAAACTGAAGAAGTCTGTCAGCTACTAGGCAGAAAATGCCCAGACCAAGGCTGGAAATAAGAGATTCAGTGCTACAAGACTGGAGTAAAGCATGGGTCTTCTCAGTCTCAGATGCCATCACAAATGGTATGTCAGTATATGCTAAAAGCCATCAGGAAACAAACAGCTTATTCTTGTTTACATTCCCAGTCACCCTAAAATAGAAAGCAGAGAAAATGAAGATTATGGGCTGCCATTATAATATATAAACAAAACAATATTGAGAATAATTTTACAAGTATAAAACCAAGTTGTAAAAACTGGTATTTCTTTTTTTCTTTAACTGTTATCAGTAATTTCATTTTATTTTTTCCAGCTTTAGTGAGATATAACTGGTACATAGCACTGTGTAAGTTTATCTTACACAACATGATGATTTGATATACATATGTATTGTGAAATGATTACCACAATAAGGTTAGTTAACACATTCATGACTTTACATGGTTACCTTTGTGTGAGTGTGATGAGAACATTTACGATATACTCTTAGCAACTTTCGTATTAGAAGAAATGGTATTTCTTACATTTATATATAATATGCCATGTGGCCCAAAGAGAACAGATTAGCTTTGTAGGAACAACAGTTTAGATGGTAGCATGTATCAAGGGAAATTTAAGAAAGCCCACTGACTAATCTTCTACTTTGAGGTCATCAAATAGTTCTTTCTTTCAGCAATGTGTACTACACAGTAGTGGGGATCCAATGCGTCTGTGTACCCAGCAACTGCTTTCCATACTTTCTCTGATAAGAGCATCCACTTCCCTTGGGAAAACTGCTCATCAAAATACCCAAACTCTGGAGCTGACCAATTAGAATTCCCTGTATCCCTTATTAATAGTAGTGATTAACAAGCAATTACTAATTAGTAATAATTTTATAGTAGTGATTACTCTGCTTATGAAGGTGACCCCAGCTGGGCCAATCAGACTCCCTTCCAGAATTTTCCCTAGTGGAGATAATGGGGAAAGTTCTTTTTCTTCTTACAGACCATGGACTCCACTACATGGGACAGCCTAGGAAAAAAGAATCATAAGGACATCAAGTACTCAGGTCCAATCTCTAAGGTTCTCAGAGCTGCCCTGGTTCCTGCAGCTCACCTTTCACCTTCCATGAGCTACCTCAGGATTTTCCCAATAAGCCCCCTTTTCCTTTCTGTTACCTCTAACCAAAGAATCTTAACTGACATAAAAAGGTAATCATAATTCTGAGTGCTTGCCTGGCATAGAATATTGAAATCACTTATCTAGTTAAAGTTATCAACGTTGTGTGATACCTGAAGTTTTTGTATTGTTTTGTTTTAGTTCTGAGACTTAAAGAATAACTAAATGATTTATTGAGAATGATTCAACCTCCATTCTGTAATAAAAACTATGCATAGCTCATTGTATATATTCTAAAATTTATAGGGAAATGCAAAAGACCTAGAATAGGAAAACACCTTTAAAAAAGAACTAAGTTGAAGGACTTACACCATCTGATTTCAAGTCTATTATAAAGCTACAGTAATGAAGAATGTGGTATCGTTATGAAGATGGACAAATATGTCAATGCAACAGAATAGAGAGTGGGATCACAAATAGATCCACACATAATGGTCAATTGATTATTTGACAAACATGCGAAGGAAAGTCAATGGAGCAAAGATATTCCTTTCAACAAATGGTGCTGGAACAACTGGATAGCCATATGCAAAAATAATGAACCTCAATCCATACCTTCCTCCCTATACAAAAATTAACTCAAAATGGATCACAGACCTAAAAGTAAAACAAAACTGTAAAACTTCTGGAAGAAAACACAGGAGAATATTTTTGTCCTTGGGTTATACAAAGAGTTCTTAGTGTCAGTATCAAAAGCTCCATCTGTTTTAAAAAGTTGATATACTGAATTTCATCAAAGTTAAGAACTTCTGCTCTTTGAAAGACAATGTTAAGAGAATGAAAAGACAAGACACAGACTGGGAGAAAATATTTGCATATCTCATATTTGATAAAGGATTTGTACACAGAGCAAAGAATTCTCAAAGCATGATAACAGAAAAACAGACTGATACAAAGTTGGGTGAAAGATCTGAAAAGGTACTTTACAACGATGATATACAGGTGGTCAAGAAGCACATGAAATATGTTCAATATCATTCATGATTAGGGAAATGGAAACTAAAACCACAATGAGATTCCAAACATAACTATTAGAACTGCTAAAATTTAAGACTGACCATTCCAAATGTTGACAAGATGTGGAGCAACCAGAACTCTCATACACTGCTGGTGGAAATGTAAAATGATACAACTTTCCAGTTTCTGAAAAAGTTGAACATACTCCTACCATATGACTCAGTCATTCTATTCCTAGGTATTTACCTATGAGAAATGAGAGCAAACATCTGCACAAAGACTTGCACATCAAAGACGTGCACATCAATGCTCATAGCAGCTTTCTTTACATTAGCTCCAAGCTGGAAACAACCCAACTGGATAAACAAAATGTGGAAAAAAAGAAATAAAAAGAAACCAAAACGTGAATCATACAAAAACATGAATGAACCTTAAAATAACACTAAACCAGACCAAAAAAAAAAGATTACATAGTCAAAACCCATAGAACTGTATAACACAAAGAATGAAGCCTAATGTAAACTATGGGCTTTAGTCAATAATAATGTATCAATATTGGTTCATTAATTGTAACAAATGTGCCACACTCATGCAAAAAGTTAATAGGGAGAGATGTGTGCAGAGGTAGAAGGAATATATGGGAACACGCTCTACTCTGCTCCATTTTCCCATAAACCTAAAACTACTATAAAAAAAAAAAGGTCTATTTTTAAAAAGTAAATAATTGAAGCAAGTATGTGAAAATGTTATAATTGTTAAATTTAGGTAATGGATATACTTTAGTTCATTATACTCCTTTTATGTTTGAAATTTTCATTTAGAAATATTGTTTTAAAAGAGTACATAGTATGATTCCATTTATATACAATTCTAGAAAATACAAACTAATCTAAGTGACAGAAAGCAGATCAGTGGTTGCCTGGAGACCGGAGGGGCAGGAAGGATTCAAAAGGAGCATAAGGGCTTCCCTGGTGGCGCAGTGGTTGAGAGTCCTTCTGCCGATGCAGGGGACACGGGTTCGTGCCCCGATCCGGGAAGATCCCACATGCCGCGGAGCGGCTGGGCCTGTGAGCCATGGCCGCTGAGCCTGCGCGTCCGGAGCCTGCACTCCGTAACTGGAGAGGCCACGGCGGGGAGAGGCTCACACACGGAAAAAAAAAAAAAAAAAAAAGGAGCATGAGGAAACTGGAGGGACAGATACGTTCATCATCTTGATTGTGGTAACAGTTTCACAGTTCATAGTCTCATACCCACATCAAAACATATCAAATCGCACATTATAAATATGTACAGTTTATTACATGTCAATTACACTCCAATAAAGATGTTAAAAAGTTAGAGAAAGCAGTTTATTGTCAGTAACAGTAGCAGCCTTTCATGTAAAAGGAGCATCTGAAAACAAGAAAGAGATTATGGGGATAAAAAACCTGATGGCCCAAATAAAAGTCAATAGAAGCAATGCATAGTAAAATGTATGCTTCAAAAAACATAATTAGTGAGTAAAAATACTTTCAAAGAATTTTCCCAAAGCTTGAGGGAGAAAAAAAGGACAAAGAGGTGGGCATTGAAAGAAAAAACAAATTCAAAAAATAAAGAGAGTTTTGAAATAGGAAAGTTGGCGCGGCTGCGGGATCCGATTCTAGAGACCCGCTGTTGGCTGGTATCACATTGTCTTACAAAGTGGTAGAGGACGAACTGGCACTATTCGATAAAAGCATAAATGAATTTTGGAATAAATTCAAAAGCACTGTCAGTGACACCTCCTGTCAGATGGTGGGCCTAAGAGATACCTACAAGGATTCCATTAAAGCATTTGCAGAAAAGCTGGCTGTGAAATTAAAGGAAGAAGAACGAATGGTTGAGATGTTTCTGGAATATCAAAATCAGATCTGCAGGCAGAATAAGCTCACTCAAGAAAAGAGAGAGAATTTGTTGAAGTTGATTGCTGAAGTAAAAGACAAAAAGCAGGAACTGGACGCACTGACTGCAGATATCCAGGACCTTAAGGAAGAATATGCTAGGAAGAGGGAAACTATTTCCACTGCTAACAAAGCTAATGAAGAGAGGTTGAAAAGGCTACAGAAATCTGCAGACCTGTATACAGGTCGACTTGGACTAGAAATTCGAAAAATTTATGGTGGTAAGTTGCAGTTTATATTCACTAATATTGACCCTAAGCATCCTGAGAGCCTATTTATGTTTTCCCTGAGCCTAAATGAAGCAAGGGACTATGAGGTGTCAGATAGCGCTCCTCATTTTGAGTGCCTAGCAGAATTTCAAGAAAATGTAAGGAAGACCAACAATTTTTCGGCTTTTCTTGCCAATGTTCGGAAAGCTTTTACTGCTATTGTTTATAATTAATGTATAAATAGTATATAAAAACCGTTAAAAAAATAAAAATATAGAGAAAATCCTTAAGAGTTTCCACGTCCAAAAAACACATCATCATCAACAACAATGGTTATCTGCAAAAGAAAGAGAATGTGATTAACATCAACACCAAATATTGTGGGACAACAATTACAGAGCTCTGGAAGAACAGGACTATGACAATAGGGTTCTAAACAACTAAATTATGGCCCCTACGTGACAACTACAAATTTTAAGATTTTTACCTTAGAAATTATAACACTTTTGTATATGATTTCTGGGGAAAAAATAAGGATCAGCACTTCTAAATTTCTAGGGGAAGAAGAGAGGAATACAGAAAACTTGCTCAATATAGCAAAACAGAAAAAAAAAAATGAAGAAGAAAATTTTACTCCCACCCCCACCCACCAAAAAAATAAAAAAGGAAACAAACACATCAAACACAAATACTATAATATATGTGAATGTATTAAATTTCTCTATAAGGAGACAGATTGGAATAGAAGTAAACATCTCCCAAGTTACTGTTCATAAGAAAACATCTCAAACAAAAAGTCTTAGCAATATAGAAAATAAAGAGATGAGAAAATACATACCTAGAAAACACAAACAAAATTAAGCAGCTGTGGTAATACTACCATCAAACACAATTTATGGCAAAAGACTTAGTGGGACTAAAAGGGATAAAATATTCAAGTCATAGTAAAGTTAGATAAGAAGATGCTTACATGTCAAATCGTGCTTACATGAATGAGGTCAAGTGGCAAAAAAAAAAGATATAGATAGTCTGAATAATTTAATTACAAATTTTATTTCATATACAGGTCTAAAACTGTGTATATTACATAGAATACACATTATTTCCAAATGTCTGTGGCTCATTTATAAAATTTAATTACACATTTACTCATCCACAAGAAAAACTTCAACAAAATCTAAAAAGTGGAAATGTTCAGGCCAAGTTCTCTGACCACAATGCAATATATAATTCATCACTTTTAAACTGCTTAAAAGAAAAATAGTGACCTAATTAGCTCGAAGAAACTAAGCTTAAATGGTGGTGCAAATAATTCTGTTAGAGCCAAAAGACTTGCTTACTTTTCAAGTGTTTATGCTCTGTAAACATTTCAGGAAAGAAAACAAAAGCTCAGAGAGCAGACTTTGTCTATCTGTTCACCACTATCTTTTAGCACACAGTGGATGCTCAACAAGTGTTTATTGAATGAATTAAATAAAAATCATCATACACTGTATCTGTTATCCACCAGGTATTGCCTATTAAATGATTAAATGGCATTTAGTAAAATGTAGCATGTGTTCCTGGAAATCTCCATTTTTAGCAAGTGCGAATACCAGGTAATCCTTATGTTCACTAAACATTAAGAACTGCTAGGTTATAAGAAACCAAAATGAATGAAAACCAAGAAACATTACCTTTAAAGTCAAAACAGTACAGCTATTATAATATTGTTCTGGCAGTTTTAATCAATGTAATGAGGCAAGGAAGGGATAGAGGGAGGGAGAGAGAAATGTATCATTACCATATCAGGAAGAAAACAATTACATTAGTTTGTAAGTGAAATGACTGCCTATCCAAGAGAATAAATTGAAAATTGTTAGAATTTAAGTTGCAAAAGGCGGCTAATTCAAGATAAATTATTAATATACCAGCAATAATCATAAGGGGAAAATACAGGAAAATGAACGTTCACAACAGCAATAAAAATTCAAATATCAAGGAATAAACTAAACAGGTAATGCATGTGAAGAAAATGTCAAAACTGTACTTTATCAATCAGCTATTTAGAGCTCTGTGCTATTTAGAGCTTGTGCTATGTTAACGCATCTAAGTTGGAAGGACATTTCCGAGAATCCCCTTCCTTTTATAGTTCTTTGTAGTGCTGGCTACAGGAGACACTGTACATGGGACTTGGAAGGCAGAAGTGAAGCAGCAGCCACATTTTTTAACTCTAAAGGTTGGTGCTGGACGCACCATGGAGCTCGCACGTCTTGCTGCTGATCTGTCAGCTCACCTTGCTGGCATGAGCAAGCAGCTAGGCCTGCAGCTCCTTCAGCCTTCACCGTTATCTTCCTTCAGCTTCTCCAAATCCTGGGCCTGCATGTGCAGCCCCAAGGTCAAGAGTGCCAGCCTCTCCTGCAGGTCACCCACAGCATCAAAACTGGATTTGGTGAGAGGCCAGTGCAGGTTCCATTCTGTTCTTGTTCTCATCCACATCTACCTTCCCCTCCCGACTTGCTGCAGCTTCAGGTTCAAAAACAGACTCAGAGGCAACGGCCTGCAGCGCCTGCCCTCCAAGCCCCACGATTACAGCAGGTCTAAACTTCTTATTCCTTAGCACGCAAAGTAGTTCTGTTCCTTTGATGGAACTTTACTGATACAAGAGCCAGACCATTTTACTGAGGAAGAAGACAACATGGATGGTATTATCCTCCTCAAATTAATCTATAAATTTAATGTAACTCATCAAAATCATAAAAGGGATTTTCTTTTAGCAACTTCACAAAACATTTTCAGATTGGCATTCGAAAGAGTTAATGCCAATAAACTTGCAAAAGCAGAGTAATATGAATACTGAAAGGTAAATGCAAAGTCTGAGACAGGTCAAGTGTGTGTTTGGGGAAGGCGGAAATGTATGTAGAATTCCAAATTGGTAAGGAACAATTATTTCACTCAGATCCTGTGTCAGGTAGGGTTCTTAAGTGCACAGAAGAGAAAGGACTCTAAGTAAAAGCAAAAACCATTAAAAGGATATTGGGAAATCACAGACTTGCCAGGTTTCAAGAACCAGGCTTCAAACTCTGCCTCAAGCACCTCAGTGAAAATGACACCAGACACCTGTGGTGAAGACCTCTCTGCCCCCGAGCCCAGCTTACACTGCCTGACCCATCACCACATATTATCATTGGCATTGCTGCTAGTACTGCCCTATCTGCTGCTGTCATAAAAGATTCTTGGCATATTTGTTTCTTTGCTCTCAAAACTTGGAGTTGGGGGCTCCCCTGGTGGCGCAGTGGTCGAGAGTCCGCCCGCCGATGCAGGGCACACGTGTTCATGCCCCGGTCCGGGAAGATCCCACATGCCGCGGAGCGGCTGGGCCCGTGAACCATGGCCGCTGGGCCTGCGCGTCCGGAGCCTGTGCTCCGCAACGGAAGAGGCCACAACAGTGAGAGGCCTGCATACCACAAAAAAAAAAAAAAAAAATACTGATAGACATAACTATATAAAAATGTAGACTTCTGCATGTCAAAATTAAAGACTAATAAATGGAGGAAATTTTGAACATTTATGATGGAGAAAGATTAGAAGCCCTACTTTACTAAGGGCTTTTAAAACTAACAAGAAGAAAAAATACGTATCCCAATAATAACATGGCAATGTCTATGAAAAGGCAATTTGGAAAAGGAATAAATACAAACGGTCAAAGAAAACTATTAAAAGATTTCAACTTTATTGGTAATCAATTGAATTTAAAACAATGAGATTTCAACATAAGATCGACGAAAGATTGCTAATGATTTGTTTGTGGTGGGGAAACAATCACTCAGTATTAGCAGTTGTATAAATTGGTATAACTCTTCTAGCAGACAATTTGACAATATGTATCAAAAATGATTAATAAATGAGCAAACACTTGACTCAGGATTTCCAATTCTAGGAAATTATCCTAAGAAATGAATTAGATAAATACAAAGAGTTACACATGGATGTTCAGCACAGCATTGTTTATAATAAGGAAAAATTAGAAACTATGTGTCCAAAATACAGGGCTAGTGAAATAAATTCCATACAATTATGCAGTCATTAAAAAAATACTTATTCCCATATTTGTTGACATAGGAAATGCTCAATAGATACTAAAATTTAAAAGGTAGCCTAAAAAATAATATGTAAAATATTACATTTTTGTTAAAAATATGTACATATGCATAAAAAATCTGGAAGGCTGTTCATTTGGCTTGTCTCTCACTAGTGGGCTTACATGTGATCATTACTTTTTTTCCCTTTTCTTTGATTTCATAAAAATTTTTAACGTTACTATCATGAAAACAAAACCAATAAAGCTCCTTTGAAAAGTTAGAAGTAATTAATAACTCAGACCATGATGCTAAGCTCAGTTTCTTAAAGTATAATTTTTAAAAATGTAGAAACATATTTATAACATTATAAATATTAATAAAATATTAGAATATATAACATTAATAAACATTAATGAAATTGTATGCAAATCTCACGTCAAATTTATAGTATAGTATAAAAATAATGTATTTATATTTATGTATTAGTTGGTACATGAAAAGCCTGTATGAAAGATTTCTGTATCTCCAGATGAAATAAACTTATGCAGGTTCCTTTAAGTTTTTTTTATTAGTGTGAAGAATACTTGCTTTGCAGAGAACAACTATTTTGTTAATGACAATGGAATCTAAAACCATCCTCAAATTCTTAGTCATTTGGAAAAATGAAAATTGTTCTCTAAAGCACTAAGATTGAGTTATAGTCTACAGATTCTTCCAGGATTAGGAAATAATGATTTCAAGATACTTTCAACCAAGAGATATGACCAAAATGCAAAAGAAACCTCCAAGGTCATGAATCCTTTCCATATACCTTAGGATTTTAGTTCCACACATCATGAATCAGGTCCCTGCTTTGCAAAGTAAACATCTGACACCTGAATGGATAAAGAAGTCAATGTGTTTAAAGGCTCAGTGCATATAATTTTAAAGTTTATAAAATATTCCTTTGAACCAAAGATAATATCATTATCCCCTTAGCTGGATGGGAACTGGGACACAGAAAGCTTGAATTAATGACCAAGCCAGAGAGGTATAGCCGCAGAGCAATATCCCCCACGGTAAGCCGTGGCCTGTAAATTAGCCCTAAGAAGAAAGAAGGCCATTCAGATGGATGAGTTGTGAGGAGAACGTAGGCTGGGCACAGTATACACAGAGGCCTAACAGAAAAGCTCTTCTGCCGCTCAAACTATGCTTCTGTATGCATTTAATTGCAAATTTATTGTCAAGTGTCATCCTAGAAAGCAGACAAAAGGTCATTATACACCTAATTGCAAATTGCATGATGTCTCTATAAAGCCATTTCATTACATCCATCTTCTTTTACTCACTAAACAATTTTTGTCATCACTAAATATATTTAAATGTACTCACCTAATGTTTTACTCGATGAGTTCAGATACAAGAAAGGATCAAGTAGCTAATGAAGTGTCATGAGCAAAGTGAAACATGAAAAGATCACTTAAAGTATTTAAATGATGATCCAAATTTAAAGCGACGTGAAAAAGAAAAACTTACTGTTTTCCAAATGTCTATATACTGTAGTAGTTTATGAATAGGAACAGATACACATAATGGGGCAGCACAAAATGCATTTTAAATGGAAAGTTTAAACAGCTTGCTTGATGAGAGAGGAACAAAAAGCTCACCTGGGCAAACTCAGAAGCAGATCCTTTCAGCCCTAGTCAAGCCTACAGATGCCTGCAGCACTGCCAACATCTGGACTACAACTTCATGAGACTCTGAGCAGAACCATCTAGCTAAGCCTCTTCCAAAAGTTCTGGCCCAAAGGTACAGTGAGATAATAACTGTTTACTGTTTTAAGCCTCTAAGTTTTGGGGTACAGTAATTTGTTATGCAGCACGGATAGCTAAAACAGTAGTTTCTCTTTTCAAGAAAGGTATAATTATGGTCCCAGAAACACAGTTCCGACATCTATTCCACTCCAACTACTGGTGCAGATATTTAGAGTAGATTCTGAGTATGAGAAAGTAATTTAATAGTTGTGCTTCCTCTTATTTATTGTCTCTGACTAGAACACCTAAGTGTCCCATTTTTCTTCTCTCTGCTTCCTTTTTCCACTTCCTGCTCCTCCCGCATAAATAGAATGGACTCCAGAACCTCTTAAACTGTAAAATACCTTTATTTTACATATTCACTTTTGTTGGGTAAGTTCATTAAGAGCAGTAATTATAATTTTCTTAAACTTGTCATGCATGAAGTTAAAGTGCTCAAGGTGTTTAATATTTCATTATACTAATACAGGGGGTAAGCAGGTTAGCAATCCTCAGCCTGTGAACTGAAGATATTATTTGGAATGATTTCTGCCATAACAGCCAGTTACCCAGATCATAAATGTCTCTCTATGACTTGCGGGAGCCATTTTCGGCAATGGCCAAACTCTGCCACGCACCATTCCTATAAGAGTACTATGCCATCAACTATGGGGTCTTCAAAGTATACCTAGCAGTAATCCTCCCTTTCCTTAACTCTACAAACACATACTTAGCCAGTTACTTTACACACTGTTGTGCATGGTTTGTTAATAATCTCTGACGTTATTCCTACCAAAAAAATAAGAGGTAGCAAATTCCCAACAGAAATGTCCTTTTCTGCTTCACCCCTTCTCCCCCACCCCAAACCCCATCACAAATATTTACAAAAACCTGAGGAAAAAGCACCGTCTAGAATCCGAAAACTGCCTTTATTATGCTTTACAAATAAGTCCTCTTCAATGAACTGTAGTTGCTGTGAAACTTTATATTTACTTTCTTTAATGCTGTAGTACTCAAAGCAGATGCCAAGTCTAATTCAGCTAATTTGCAAAGAAAGGAAACACAAATCTTGCTCACTTTCACGGATACTCTTCGTAACCTGCATGTAAAATGTTTCTTTCCTATGACCATTACAAATACATACGATTCTGAATTTCAACAAGTCTTAGCAAATTCCCAAAGTCATTCTTTCCTAAGGTTGGCATGATTCAATAATTTTTAAAATGTCAATTAAGAAAATAGGTGGAAAGCCCTGGCGTCTGCAGGGAAGGGAACAAGTTACAATCTCCACAATCACCCCTCCCGGTAGCCTGGGCGCCTTAAGGGCCCTCGTGGCTGGAAAGGTGGCAATGGGCAACTCTGGCAAGATCGCCGGCAACCCGCCCAGAGCCAGGGAAACGCCAGGGGCGCGAAGCCTAGGCGAGGGCTTGACGCCCATGGGATCTATAAGGCGCGACGAAGCAGGAGGGCCGTGCAGGGATCGCGCAGATCCCGGAGACACCGGCCAGTGTCTGTCGAGCACACCCCGCCTGCTCTCGGGTCCCACGCGACTGCCGCCCCTCCACGCCTTCCCATCGGGAACCTGGATCTTCTAGACTTCAGGTTCAGGTGGTCCCCGCCTCCGGCCTGCCACCTCAGGACGCAGTTTCGCGGCGTCCATACAGTCAGTCACCCCCCCCCCCCGCGCCCGGTCCCTTGCTGAGGATCAGCCGCACCCACCGTCTGCTCCCCCAGCTGAAACAAGCCAGCCGCGCGAACGGCGGCTCCGCCCCTCTACACCCGCTTCCGTCGGTACCATAGAGACGCCGGCCGCGGGCCTGAGCGACTCTAGCCCGCGACGCAGGCCGAGAGGACGCCGGGATACTGGTTCCACTCTAAGCGGCCAGGAACGCGGCTTGAGGGCTCTTAAGACGAGGGGTTGGGTACCTCGAGTTCCCCTACCGTCGTGCTCCCCAAAAGGACACATTTGGGACGACGGGTGGGAAGTGAAAAGTGCCTTGTTGGTTCCCCTCTCTCGACCCTGAGGATTCATTCTCGGCTTAGCCGGCGCCGTCCACAGCGCACCCACGCGGCGGCGGGAATCCGGGGACGCGAATTAACCTCACCGAATATGGGACGCGCGGGCTTCTGCCCAGAGGTGCCGCCGGCTGTCCCGGAGATGTAGAGATGTTTCCGACCTCCTGCATGGGATCCTTTAGGGTGGGCGTAGGAGAGAGTTTTTCACTCCGCAAGACCGGGCGACTTTGCGGACCTTACGGTCCTCTGTGGCGCTCCACCGCCCCCTTGGGGAGCTCTTGATAATTACTCTTTGGCGCTGTGCGGTATACGTTGGGGGCAGCTTTTTCTTGTGGACAGCAGTGAGAAGGCTAGAACGCTTAATCATGACTACTGAATGCCCAAGAGTCGGAAAAAGAGACAACATAAAGGGTGGCTTGACTCTGATTAACTGAACGGACAAGGTGCAGCTTGTTTAATGGGTCTGTGGCCAGTTCCCATCCCGACTCCCTGCCTCGGAGTGGTGGCTGCTCTGTGAGCACCAAGGAGACATCGAGCTTGACATGTGGCTCTAGTAAGCACTGGGCGAAAAGCGGGGGCTCAAAGAGGAAAATTTCTTTCTCCTTCCTACCTGGTTTCTCAAAACAAGTGTTGGATGTAATGCAGGGGCGGCAATGGGATTATATTAAGTACATAGTTGAAGGAGACCATAGAGAATCCGAATCTTCTATCTCGAGCAAACTTCTAGGTCTTTCACGGAACCTTAAAGTGTGGCTGAGTTTCTGTTACAGAACTTTTCATTGCTTGTCACACTCTTGGTTCTTAGCCAATGGGAAAGACTCAACTGAGGGAGGAAATTATACATGTTTTACCTGCACAGCTTAAAAGCTTATTAAAAATATTACTGAACACATTAACCACAATATTGGGTGCTTTTAGTCATGTTAAGAACAAATATTTTCTGTCTGAATGCAGTAACAGTTTGGCATTACCCTTATGGCAGCATGGGTGCATTTCTTATAGTCTAGGCTTTCTAGAGTTATTTAGGGACAACATAGGTGGTTTCCTGCAACCAAAACAGAACTTAGTTATTTTCTCTGTGGGCAGTCTGCTGCCCAAAGGGACTGTTCATTACACAATACATACTGAGCACTCTCAATATGCCAGGCACTATGCTTGGTAATAAGACTATAAAATAACTTTATGGAGCTCAAGTTCTAGTGGAGCATATAGACCACAAAGAAGTAAGTTGAATGACTGAAATATGTGCTCTAAAGGAAGTAAACATGGTGATGTAATAGTAACTGGGGGAGGCCCCTCTGAGGCAGGGGTATTTGTGCTGAGACCTGAAGGTGGCAGGGAGCCCACTGTGAGCTAAAGAGAGCATTGTGCCCATTCAAATTGCTTACATTACCTCTCCTAACCTACTACACTCTGCTTGCTTTGCTCTCTATTTTTCTCGTTATTTCCTCTGTTGCTTCTTCTCTTTTATGTGAAGACACTGGTCTTTTCAAGAAATCATAAGTTAATTTGAACATTTCTGATTATGTCTGGTATAATCTTGAAGTCTTTTTAGATGTATGGTTTTGTTCTTTCCCAAGAGACAGGTGTAATACATAGCACTTTTGGTGAGCTCATTCCTCTTTTGGTTTCATACACTTTGTAGCATAAATCTTTGGAGATGTTCAAAACAAATGAAAATATCTGGTACATGAGATAGTCCAGATAAAATTTAGTCTTAGCTAAAGTGCTCGATTCTTAGCTTGAAGCAATATTGCCCACATTAAGGTTTTTCGTTTTGTTTTTTAAGATCTAATTCTCTTTTCATGGTTCTACTGAAAAATACTTGGAGTAGAGAGACTAAATAGCAAATGATCAATGTACACAATTCTGCATAAGTAAAATGAAAGAAACTTGATTAATAGTGAATGCTCCACAAGACAAAACAGCAACAACTACAGTTTTATAAAATTTTTTCTCAAATCTGAGATAAGAAATTGTTCAAATTTTTAAAATAGTTCTTTATTAATAAAATATATATTTTAAAATTTACAAGTTAGGTAAAATACCTCCAAAGTTAAACGTCATTTCTCATAAAATCATTGTACAGAAGTCATATATATAATTTCTTGGCTTTCTAGTAATTTTCTACCAGTCACTTGAAATAACATCCTCAAGGTTTAATAATATATTGTAATAATTCCATATTTCACCTTTTAGAGTTTGATAGAAGACAGTCAATATCCTGAAGGATTTCAGAGGTTTTTTTCAATGCCACTGATACACTCTTTTCATTAACTTCTTTTAGCAAGTCTTCTGAAGATTTTGGTTTACAATGATCCAAAGACTGTTCATTTTTCTTGTTAGAAATCTGGCTTAGGATACCACTGTTCTCCAATAATACTAAGTTGCTTAGTTAAGGAGCTTTTCCCCCATATTTTTCATTATAATTGTTTTTAATTCAGAAAGCCTAGCCTTCATATTAAAATATTATTTCTCCATTGGGAGGAAGATCTCTTGGATTCACAGTAGAGTTGGGACTTCAGAATTTATCAAGTCTATCCCTTATAGATGAAGAAACTAGTTAAGACTATAAGAGGGGGAAAGGAAAAGAGAGTATGCATGTCTGTATTTGGATGGAAGTTTGGTGACAGGGAGGAAATAAAAGAATTAAAACCTCAGTAACATTTCTTTAAATGAAGAAGTGATATGGGAATAAAAGGGAACCAAAGTAGGGGTGAGAGGGATACAAACAATCTGTGTAGGGTATTTTTAACTTAAAACATCTAGAGTGAAAAGAATCTGTCCTCTGTTGCAGAGCTACTTTATTATTTGAATAGGATTATGGAAAAATAACAGGATAAAAGAAATTTAGATGATTGGGATAGGAATGTACAGAACAAAAGGTTTAATAAGAAAAAGAAGTAAGAGTCCAGTCCAAGCTGGTGATGTAGGAGGTTCCTGAACTCACCTCCTCCCACAAATGTGACACTGAATCTACAGCTACACATGGAGAAATTCTCGCTGTCAGAAATCCAGGAACTACCCGAGTGACTCCTATACACTGAGTGAATAAGAATATATCCACAACTAAATGGGTAAGAAAGGTTGAGACACACTTTCACTATAAACCCCACCCTTAGCACAATAGGGGGGAACTCACAATTCCCAGCTTCTCCCTGAGGAGTAAACAGTTTGCCCCAAGATCTAATGCTCCAACTTTTAAGACTCCTAAGTGTGGGACAGGCCCCTAAAACTCCTAGTTCTGAGCAGACAGAAACACCCATCTCCCAGTCTTTCCCTCAAAGAGGGCTATTTGCATACTTTAAAAGCTGCTGCCTGAGGTATGCCTATTTGCATGTTTTAAAAGCTTCTAATTTAGCACGTGCCTAGAGGCTGAATGTGATCCTCCCTGGAGACTCAGGAGGCTGGCAGATGATATCTCCACATTCTTTCTCTGGCCTACTCAAGGTTGCTGCTATCTCCCTGGAAGGAGCTTATACACAAAAGAAAGTGTCAGTGAAACAAAGAGCTGGGTTTTTTTTTGCAAAGATAAAATAGACAAACCTTTAGCTAGACTTATCTAGAAAAAAGAAAACTCAAACAAATAAAATTAGAAATGAAAGAAGAGAAATCACAACCAATACCACACAATACAAAGGATCATGAGAGACTACTATGAACAATTATAGGCCAAGATATTGGACAACCTAAAAGAAATGGATAGATTCCTAGAAACATACTGAATCCAGGCTGATTACTAGTAAGGAAATTGAATCAGTAATCAAATACCTCCCAACACAAATGGTTTCACTGGTGAATTCTACTAAATATTTAAACAAGAATTAATACCAATCCTTCTCAAACTCTTCCAAAAAGTGGAAGAGGAAAGAATATACCTCAAAACTAATTTTACGAGGCCACGGTTACCCTGACAACCAGAACTAGATAAAGACACTACAAGAAAAGAAAATTACAGGGCAGTATCTCTGATGAACATAGATGCAAAAGTCCTCAACAAAACATTAGCAAACCAAATTCAACAATATATTAAAATGGTCATACACCATGATCAAGTGGGACTTATTCTAGGGATACAAGGATGGTTAAACATATGAAAATTAATGTGGTACACCACATTAACAAAATGAAGGATAGAAATCATATGTCAATAGATGCAGAAAAACACTTAACAAACTGGGGATAGAGGGAACATACCTGAACATAATAAAGGCTATATATGATTAGCCTACAACTAATATCATATTCAACAGTGAAAAGCTGAAAGCTTTTCTTCTAAAATAAGAAATAAGACAGTAATGCTCACTCTCAACCCCTTTTATTCAATATAGTACTGGAAGTCCCAGCCAGAGCAATAAAAAAAAAAAAAAAAAAAAAAAAGAAATAAAAGGCATACAAATCAGAGGGAAGAAGTAAAGCTGTCTCTATTTGCAGATGATATGATATTATATATAGACTCTGCTAAAGTCTCCACAAAAACCTGGTAGAACTAATAAATTTAGTAAAGTTGCAGGATACAAAATCAATATAAAAAAATAAGCTGCATTTCTATACATTAATAATGAATTACCTGGGCTTCCCTGGTGGCGCAGTGGTTAAGAATCTGCCTGCCAATGCAGGGTACATGGGTTTGAGCCCTGGTTCGGGAAGATCTCACATGCCGTGGAGCAACTAAGCCCGTGTACCACAACTACTGAGCCTGAGCTCTAGAGCCCATGAACCACAACTACTGAGTGCACGTGCCACAACTACTGAAGCCTGCGTGCCTAGAGCCCATGCTCTGCAACAAGAGAAGCCACTGCAGTGAGAAGCCCGCACACCACAACAAAGAGCAGCCCCCGCTTGACGCAACTAGAGAAAGCCTGCGCACAGCAACGAAGACCCAATACAGCCAAAAATAAATAAATAAATAAAATAAATTTATAAAAATAAATAATGAATTATCAGAAAAAGAAATTAGGAAAACAATTCCAATTACATCAAAAAGAATAAAATACCTAGGAATAAATTTAAGCAAAAAGGTGAAAGATCTGTACATTGAAAACTATAAGACATTAGATGAAACAGAATAAGACACAAATAAATGGAAAGATATTCTGTACTCATGAATTGGAAGAATTAATATTGTTAAAATGTCCATACTATGCAAAGCAATCTACAGATTCAATACAATATTCAATGTATTGAACAATACAAAATTCTAATGGCATTTTTCACAGAAATAGAACAAACAGTACTGAAATTTGTATGGAACCAAAAAATACCTCAAATAGCCAAAGCAAACTTGAGAAAGAAGAACAACGCTGGAAGTTTTCTGATTTCAAACTATGGTAATCAAAACAGTATGACATTGGCAAAAACCAGAAATATAGATCAATGGAACAGAATAAAAAGTCCAGAAATAAAGTCACGTATGTCTGTAATGGTCAATTAATTTACAACAAACAGTCAAAAATATACAATGGAGAAAGGATAGACTCTTCAATAAACGATGTTGGGAAAACTGGACCTCTACCTTACACCATACACAAAAATCAACTCAAAATGGATTAAAGACTTGAATGTAAGACCTGAGACCATAAAACCTCTAGAAGAAAACATAGGGTGTAATAAACTCCTTGACATCAGTCTTGGCAATGACTTTTTGACACCAAAAGCAAAGAAAACAAAAGCAAAAATAAACAAGCGGTACTTGTCAAACTAAAAAGCTTTTGCACAGCAAAGGACACCTTCAACAAAATGAAAAGGCAACCTATGAAATGGAAGAAAATATTGCAAATTATATTTCTGATAAGAGGCTAATATCCAAGATATTCAAACAACTCATACAACTCAATAGCAAAAAAAAAAAAAAAAAAAAAAACACAATTAAAAAATGAGCAGAGGAACTGAATAGGTACTTTTCCAAAGACATACAGATGGCCAACAGGTACATGAAAAGGTGCTCAACATCACTAATCATCATGGGAAATGCAAATCAAAACCAATGAGATATCACCTCACACCTGTTAGAATGGCTATCATCAAAAAGATAAGACATAACAAGTGTTGGTAAGGATATGGAGAAAAGAGAACCCTTGCGTACCTTGGTAGAAATATAAATTAGTACAGCCACTGTGGAAAACAGTATGGAAGTTTCCTCAAAAATTTACAAATAGAACTACCATATGATCCAGCAATCTTACTTCTGGGTATATATCCAAAAGAAATGAAAACAGTCGGGGCTTCCCTGGTGGAGCAGTGGTTGAGAGTCCACCTGCTGATGCAGGGGACACGGGTTCATGCCCCGGTCTGGGAAGATCCCACATGCTGCGGAGCAGCTGGGCCCATGAGCCATGGCCGCTAAGCCTGCGCATCTGGAGCCTGTGCTCCGCAACGGGAGAGGCCACAACAGTGAGAGGCCCACGTACCGCAAAAAAAACAAAAACAAAAACAAAAAAAAAGAAATGAAAACAGTCTATTGAAGAGATAGCTGTACTCTTTTGTTCACTGCAGCATTTTTCACAATAGCCAAGATATGGAGACAACCTAAGTGTCCACTGTTGGATGAATGGATAAAGAAGATGTGGTACATATATATACACACAATGGAATACTACTCAGCCATGAGAAAGAAGGAAATTCTGACATTTGCAACAACACGGATGGACCTTGATGGCATTTTGCTAAGTGAACTAAGCTAGACAGAGAAAGACAAATACATGGTGTCACTCATATGTGGAATTTTTTAAAAAGTCAAACTCATGGAAACAGAATGTAGACTGGTAGTTGCCAGGGGCTGGGGGTGGGGAAAGAGGGAGAGGTTGGTAAAAGCATATGAACTTTCAGCTATAAGATGAATAAGGTCTGAGGATCTAATGTATAACATGGTGACTGTAGCTGATAACACTGTGTTGTATGACTGAGGTTTGTTGGGAGGGTGGAAATCAGATGTTCTCACCACCACCTACCCCGGGAGGGTTGGTGAGGTAGAGGAGAGGAGGAAGATAGATATGTGAAGTGATATATGTGTTAATTAACAAGATAGGGTGATCCTTTCACAAGGTGTATGTGTGTCAGGTCACTATGATATACTATTTAAGTATCTTATAATTTTTTCAATTATACCTCAATAAAGCTGAAATTTTTTACAAATAATAGTATATAAAAATTCTACAAATTTAAAAAAAGAAAGAAGTCAGAGATAGTTCTCAGTTATAATTTAGAATATAATTATATAAGTGTGAAAGTCTCCATAGGACATCTTAACCCCAGTTCACTGTCCTTTGCTGAGTTAAACCCAATGAAAAGTACAAATGCTAACATGATGTACCTCCTATAGACAAGATACATCTTAAATTACAATCTTAAATATTATTCAATAAAGCTCTGTAATATATAAGTATGGATTAATATAAAGTAGAGTCATGAATTAAGCCTACAATGGAAAGAGAGAAATTATGCAGGACAATACATTCTGTTTAAAGGATACAGTTAAACTTCTGTATCTTTTCAAGTTCAGAAGCCACAGACCTGTGCAAAAAAAACCTCATGCTAGTTGTCTGATTCTTTTATATCCACAATATTTCAAATGAGCATACTTAATTTTTTTTCATAAAGGTTAGAATTTTTGACATAAGAACCTAGAGGTTAAGAATTCTCTTTATATTGGCTTTATTTAGCAACAAATCACCTTGATTCAACTGATGCTTACTGAGTGCCTTTCATGAGGAAGGCAAGTGAATAAAAGTCCTCCACCTCCAGGACTTTTGAATTAAGTATTGAGGTTTGAAGGTAATGAGCCTTCCTGCTACAACTCAGTACTGACATGGCATATCTTCTACTTTCCTCTTCAAGGTTTACTAAAACTTTAAAAACCTACTAAAATCTCATCACTTCTATGAAAGAAATACTCTCTCCTTTGAATTCCTACAGCAGTATGTTAATTAATCATAAACTTCTTTGTAATGCTTTCTCTTGAACTATTTAATTTTCTGATCTTCATACCTAGATAGTTTCTTTGGAGGAGAAGGGATCTTACACATATAGTTAAGACCTCATTTATATGGAACTCTTAGGGAATGGACGGTCTCCAGGGCCAACTTTTTATACGACTGAATTAGGTGTCAAAACATAATAACTACTTTCTATTAAATTTCTTCTGGAATAGACTACCATTTCATTGTTTTCTTAAGCACAGTATACTAAACATTCTCTTCTTGACGTGAAGGGTTAATATATGAACATCAGCCCTTACCATGTTCCACAGAAACAGATATTGGGGCAACTGGTGTGGGATAGAAGGCTAAATGTACACAAATCCAGCAGAACCTCTTATGTGCGTGTTCTTTGTGTTTTCCCTCATCACTAGATGAAATATGAGCAGTGGCACCCAACTAGAAAATAGTGTAACTGGACTAGCTCTGCAAAATTAATGAGGACATTCATGCTAAAACATCTCTTTATTCAAGTCACTAGAAAAGTCTTTTCACAGCTCACAATAGGGTATACGACTTGTCTGCTTTACTGGCAGACAATGGACCATACACAATGGACCACATGCACCTCATCAGCCTGCACTCTTTCCTTGTACTCCAGCCTATGAACGGAGAATAAAAGAGACCTTTCATCATTTTAAGCATCCGTAGTAAAAACCTGGATGTGACTTACTCCAAAACCCGCCGACTCTTCATCATTGCAAAACACACTCCCCCTGCCTTTTTTAAACATGAGACACATTTTCTGGGTACACCCAGAACCGTACAAACTACCTTTAATGCTGTCACTCATATGATAAACCAACGTCTTATAAAACATCTCCTGTACTATTTTTTGACAAGCATTCCTATTAAAAAGTTGAACGAGTAAGCTAATAATATAGGGTGAGTTGGAAATAAAATATTGAAATACAATTTAGGTAGTTGTATATTATGTTTACAGCTGAAATACATTTTGGCTGTTTATTATGCGATCTCTTCTCTCCCTTCAACCTATCCACTTTGACAAGAAAACAAGAATCATCTGATTCTTGTGGAGATGTCTTAGGCTTTGGGAGGGGAATGGAGCTGTTCAAGTGCTGTATCTCCCCTCCCCACTCCTCAATTCCTGTCTCCCCTCTGCTCCGCGTTGCTTCCACCCATAGCTGCTTTCACCAATCTGTACTTCTCTTACCCCCTCACTTCTCAGTTTGTCTTGACAGTTATCCTCTTCTAAGCTTTCACATAAAAAGCCTAGCATTTTACAAACTTTGCCAGCTGAGCAATGATGAAGTAACCAATTTTATAGCCATGTACAATTTCCCTTTCTTCCCAACTATGTTTTTTGCTAGCTATTAAGGCAACTTTTCTGCTCCTAAACTGTAGCTGAAGAGCGGGACCTGGAAAGCTGAATCCTTAAGATATCTGGATATTCAAATAACATCTACTGATTTGATTGTACCTCTTTCTCTAAGTAACTTAGGAAAAGGTGATAAGAATCAAGCTTATTGTATATATATTTTTTCACCACGCACCATGCACTAAGACACCTTACAGCTTACTTTATTCTTTTTATTTATTTATTTGGCTGTGCCAGGTCTTAGTTGCGGCACGCAGGATCTTTAGCTGCAGCATGTGGGCTCTTAGTTACGGCATGTGGGATCTAGTTCCCTGACCAGGGATCCAATCTGGGCCCCCTGCATTGAGAGTTCGGAGTCTTAACAGCTGGACCACCAGGTAAGTCCTCTTACAACTTACTTTAATTTAAAGCTTCCTAAATTGTTCCTGATATCCTTCTTTTCCAATATAATCGGATTATACTCTTGCAGTGACACTAACCTTCCTAAGGCTCTTTCTTCCTGTCATTTTTCCGTATAGGAACTTGTAATTCTATGAAGTCTGAACTCCTCTATTGATTACAAGGTCTATTCCTATCCATCAGAGTCACACTACACCCAAGCAGGTAAGTGTCTGCTCCATAAAAACTAACTTCTTACTATCTCCACAAGCCAAAATACCCTTTTTTACCTCTGCCCTTGCTTCCTCCCTAAAATGTCTTAATTTCCCTAAATATTCCTTCGGAGCCCAGTTCTAGTCCCCTACACACTGAAAGGCACACAGGAGGGACTGAAATCTTGCTTTATTTGTTGATTTATCAATTAATTTGGGGGAGGCAATTAATATAATAGAAATTATTTAAAAATCAAATTTTCCTGAAAGCTTGTTATGTTAGTCAACATTTTATTTCCTTTAATATTACTAAGATAAAAAAATATATATCCTCTAAATTTTTCCATAAAGTTTTCAGGATGAATTTATTACACTAAAAGGGTCACCCATTTTGATATGAAGTTTTCAAATCTTCAGATGAAATATACTATGATGAAAGGTAATAAATGAGATATCCAATTAAAGGTATTTTCAAGATTTAAGCTATCAAAACATCATAGGAGTTAAATATATTTAACTAAGAGAAAGTTTTTTTGGGAAAAAGAGTCAGTTTACCTTTTAACATTTTAATTTTTGAGGATTACTTGGCTCTTCTACACAGATTAAGTTTAAAATAAATACAAATACCAGTTTTCTTCCGGAACAGAAGATGAAGGATGTGTAGGCATTTCTTTCTGACTAGTCTGGGTCAGTCTTCTGCACCATGATATTACTGTTGTCACATATCTAGATTGAATACATTAAGACAGATATTTGAAAAACGAACTTGTAGAATATTTATAAAAGCATTTAAAAATTGGAAAAATCATTAAGACGGTTTGGGAAAAAAGAATAAAGAAAAAATTCTAAAGTAGGGCAATTTTTAAATCGTTTTCATTGGAAAAAGAAAAAGCAAGTTTTTCTCATTCATCAGGAATAAGATGATTTACTCACATATATGATTAATAAAGATGAGATTTAAGAATCAGAACACAGGTTAACACTTGGATTTCATTCAAAGTTCTAATACCTAAATTCTCCTTTTAGTTTTTCAAAGTAAAATGAATTTCATTAAATTTTATCATGAAAATGTCTTTACACACAAGACTAAGTGAGCATTTGCTTTCTAAAATTTAAACCAGAACACACCTGTTAATGCACACACACACACATCCAGAATTACATATAACTCATCAAACACACAAAACAAGTATCAAGTTCAATAAAACGAATGATTTGGAGTGACTGGCTGAAATAAATAGTTAATGTTTGCTAAACAGACACTATCTTTTGAGGCAAATTATTCAAACTAGCAATGAATGTTGGAGCATTTAAACCAAAATGCAATAACTCCCAACAGAAAAATAAATTCAAGAGGTAAAAAAAGCAATTGTTTTGTGAACATCCTCAAGTAAAATCACTAACATGTCAAGAACATCACAAAGAGAATGATTATTATAACAAATTACATAAGCCAAAAGAGAAAAAGCATATTCATAAAAAGCTGATTTCAAGAATCTTCTCCATTTTAAGAATAATCATTAGCTAGTTTGTTTTATTTCACTTTACAGAAATAATACATAAGTTTAGTTATTTGTGGCTGTAAGCCTTAGTTTAAATTGGTTAGGGGATTAATTAGTTAACTGGTTAACACAGCTGACCACAGTCCAACCTCCACAGCAAGCCAGTTATATCTATAACACATTTCTTTTGAAAAATCACTAGAATACAAATGGAAATGATTAAAGCTGACCTGATCTATTTAGTTATGCTAGAGACCAATATAACTGTAAACCCTGAAACCTGCTGAGGAATTCCCTGGAGGTCCAGTGGTTAAGACTCTGCGCTTCCACTACAGGGGGCGTGAGTTCGATCACCAGTCGGGGAACTAAGATCCCACAAGCCACACGGTATGGCCAAAAAAACAAAAACAAAAACAATGCAGCTACTGAAACCCGCTGAAATGACTTTATGCATTTTCCACATGGAAAAACTAAAAATATATACAACATTTAAATAATGTTTTTATGCTTCCTCTCTAAAAGGAAGTTGTTTACTAACATGAAATTATTTTTTTAATTGCTTTCCAGTACCTTTCATATGGTTCAGGGTGTTGAATCTGAATTAACTGATTTTGTCCATCAGGAAAAGTTAACTTACACCAACATAAATTGAGACCTCGATTTACCTTAAGAAGCAAGGAGGAAAGGAAAGTTTTAGTATTCTAGAACCGAAAAACAAAACCTTCTTTTTAATTAATTTTCAGTTAAAAAAAAAAAAAAGAAGTAGACGAATCATTAAAACTTTATTTTGACTAACTTAAAAGTTTTGTTTTACATGGGATATGGGTATTATTTAACCACCACCCTTATATAGATAATTATCAAAAGAACAAAAATACTAGTCCCTCTCTCTATAATGAGTTACATTTATAAAAATGACAATTTGTCACACCTTTCTGATTTCTGCTAGGAAATCCAATGAGATCAGTAAAGCCTCTTGACAGATTTTATACTTCAAAAAATAGAGATACTGTGGTACTTCATTTTCTATTTCCACAGATTAAAAATAAATAAATAAAAAATAGATTTCAGTCTGAAGTATAATTACCTGTCTCTTTTCAATAAGAGAGCTGAAATTCCAATTCAGGGTTAGAGTAATGCCATCTAAAAAGACAGCATGTACTTTGTCATCAGAGTATGCAAGAAATCTTCCCACGTTGGGTATGAACGATTCTCTCAAAAGCAAAGGCAGTATATTGCTATCATTTATCCCAGGTACCTAAAACCAGAAAATAAAAATAGCAGGAAAGACAGTTATCCACTAATAAGATTGAAATGATTAATGAACACTGAGGCAACTTCAGATTCTCATTCAGAAGTTGAATATTGTAGAACCCTTATGGATGTTTTGACTTTTCCAGAAGTGGCTACCCAAAAGAGTCTATTGTAAGCAGATTAAGTACTAATACCTTTGGAAAGTCACCATTCTGCTGAACTTTACATAGAAAATGGACAAAGATTAGGAACTACAGCAACATATAGGTTTATAATCAAAGCAGTATAGATACAGAAATCAAGGTCTGAGAATCACTTCCTCCAAGTCAGCATTAAAAAAAATTTACTTTTACAGTTATGGAAATAGAATGAATACTGTAATATGTTTCAAAATAACTATGTTTTCACATACTTCAAATCCAATCAATTCCCCTGTGCTCCCCCTCTAAGAAAAAAGAAACAACAAACTATATACAGTAAAAGTATAACATAAAAGCCCAGTTTTGCAGTGTTTATCTATTAAATGGATTTTTTAAATAAACCAGTATTAATATTACAAAGACTTTCTCACATGACTTAGATGAAAGTAATTTGAACTTATATGTATGTATACAAATAATAAAGCAATTAAAAATATCTTGCTTTTAAAATAATTTAAGATACCATTTTCCAGCAGCATATATGATAGTTATGGCTTAAAGAAAGCTTCATCTTGGCACAATGCTGAAGAATTCTGTGAACAAGAAAAATACTACTTAAACATTTGCAAATAATGTCATTTTCCAATTCTAGCAACCCATTCTCACTGCTATACAACATTTTAGGCAAGTAACTCCTTTCCACAAAAATACGTTTGGACCTCTTTCTTCCTTAAGCCCCTAGAAGGGAACTACTACTGTTGCTTCCCTTTGTGCTAATCTTACATAATTAAGGTTATTCCTCTAATTTTTAGCAATGAAATGACTCCAAATGGAGAGGATTTTCAGAATTTGCTCCTTTTTAAGAAGTGACAGATTCACAGCACCTGAAAGGTTTAGCATAGTCTAAGAGTGGTGGGGATGTGAATCAACTGTCCCTAGAAAATCAAATGACCAGTTCTGCTCCTTCAAATCTACTTTAGAAGTTGCTTAAACATAAGTTTATAAAACAAATAATTTAATTCAACAATCCACTTTCATTCCTCTCAGTGCCACAGACTGATTAATGAATTAAAAAACATATGAACCAAAGAACCAAACTACAGTTCACCTTCTGTTCATTCTCAGAAATCGTTATTACTCCTAGGATAATAAAGAAGTATGAAAATTCAAATGTATCATCAAATCTTCAACTTGATTCCAAGGAACAATAATGATGCCACACTTACCTAGAGAAAAGGCACTTATTTTCTTCCAGCAGTTGCTTGCCATATGTGGATGTTTCTCCATATTTAACTTCAAATTTCAAAGCCAGAAGTACTTTTTTTTTTAAATAATTGGGATTTTGTTGTTGCTGTTGTCTTAATCTTTATTTATTTATTTGGCTGTGCCGGGTCTTGGTTGTGGCACAAGGGATTTTTGTTGTGGCATGTGGGATCTTTAGCTGCGGCATGCAGGATCTTTCAGTTGTGGCATGCAAACTCTTAGTTGCAACACGTGGGATCCAGTTCCCTGACCAGGGATCGAACCTGGGCCCCCCTGCATTGGGAGTGTGGTAGCCACTGGACCACCAGGGAAGTGCCAAGAAGTACTCTTATAATGACATTGTGATCACTTTATTTTATAAATGATGAGACCAGAAAAGTTGACAGATTTTACTAAAGACATTTCCACTGTACCCACCAATTCTTAATCTTATCTGAACCACTAGAAAATGTATCAAGTTTCTCAGACACATAACACTTGATTCAGTTGAATGTGAAGCACTTACCTGGTTGCCTGTTTAATTAGAGAACAAACAGAAAATGGACTTCCTGGTCTATCTGGAGGAAGGTTATTTACTGAATAAGTTTTCTCTTCTCTCTGAAAATTAGTTTAAAAAAGATTCAATAATAAATTTTGGCCATTATTACTTAGCTATTTTTTTTCCTTAAAATACGTATTTATACAGTGAAAAGGCAAGCAGTTATTTTAAGTTAATCAACAGCCCATAAAAGGTAACTTTAAAAGGTATTTTATGATGCTTTTCCATTTTCCCTTTTTTTTTTTAAAGTCTAGAATTCCTCCTATCAAAAGTTATCCTACTCAAAAATTACATTCTAATAGCCTATAACTTACTGCTCAATTTAAATCTTGGCTGTACTCAAATTAACAAACTAATTTCCCTGTGCATTAACAGGAAACCTACCATAAGCCCCTTTTTCCCTTTAGACAGAAAAAAAAAAAAAGAAGGCGGCGGCTAAATAGGCTTAAAAAACTGTTTTAATTACTATTTTAATTGAATGGCTATATCGTTTTGTTGTATTTTATTAATGGAAGAACAACTGCTAGTTTGTGTAAGACAATATTATTATTTACAAGCTCAACTTCTTGAATTAGAAAAAAATGTTGTTTTGTTATTCCCTCTGAATTTCCTCTTTCTGAGACTCTTTCATGCTAGTGTTTACCAGGACTCTGTCTCCAGCCTTCTCTTCTGATTTCCTGTTTCTTCTTGGGTAATCCCAGGAGGGTCCAAAACTGTGTTCATAATAAATATCACAACAGCAACAACTAACATTTATTAAACAGATTGTACTATGTTCTAGGTGCTATGCTATGTAGTTTACAAAGGATTATCTCATTTACTCCTCAAAATAATCCTGAGAGATATGAAATATTAATGTCTATTTTTTAGATAAGGAAACTGAGGCTTGAGGGCTAAGTAGTAGTAGAGGTCTGAATTGAACCACAAGAGAGTGTTGCCCATACTCTACCATCAGTGAGAGAAAATAAGCTTCAAAGTCAGAGCTGGATTCAAATCACAGGTGTGCCTTTTACTACTATAATGATGGGCAGGTTATACAAACTTGTGTTAAGTCTCAGTGCCTACAACCTATGAAATGGGGATACTACCTACCATCCACATTGTCCCGAGGATTAATAAAATAATACATATATAAAGCAACTGGGACAGAATTTAGTCTATAGTATGGTACTCAAAAAATAATCTCTCCTCTTTTATCCTGGACTGTAGACTTGAATATCTAAATCTCTACCGGATATTACAAAGACATTTCAACTTCAACATGTCAAAATGAAATTACCTTCCCTTCAAAATCTGCATTTTTTTTCCCTCCCTCCTACTTCATATTTACCTCTGGTATGTCAATCATTACATGTTATTCCCTCTTCCTAGAACTCAGCTCCCTGCCTCCATTGCCTCCCTTTGTCTGACTAACTCCTACTTTTCCTTCAGCATCAGGGAAGCCATTAAGGAGGACCCATACGCTAGGTGAAATCCCCTAGTTATGTCTACAAGCACAGAAAACCTCTATTCCTGCTTCTTGGTTTCCATTACAATTTCAATTTAATGTTTTATACTTAATGTTGGTCTTCTCTGCTAGAATGGAGCTTCGTGAAGGTAGGGGCTGAATCTGTTTTGCTGACCTCTGTATCCTCAGCATTTATTAGTACAGTGGGCTAAGTCACATGGTAGGCACTCAAAATATCACACCTTAATTATTTATGTCCTTCTCTATCGGATACTGAGTCCCTCGAAGGTTCTTGTCTTTTTCCACTGCTTAATTTCATCAATTCTAAAATGCTTATTTTTCACAATTTAATCTCTCTCAAATAAAGATGCATCTTACAATTAAGAGTTTCTTTCAATTACTATCAGGCAGATGGGACTGAACTATAATAGAATTTAAATCTTTTATGGAAATCTCTTGGTATGTTCAAAAAATGCCATCATCAATACACTTCCGGTTTAAAATTTTTTTTGGTTTAATCCAGTGCCTGGTACCACCACTCACTGATTAATTCAATAACTTGGCATCATTTTCAACTCCTTCCCCATCTCCAATATCCCGTTCAGTCATTAGTTCTGTCTCCTTAATATTTCTTGGGTCCATTCTTATCTTTCCATTCTCATTACCACTGCCTGGCCCTAATACTTCCTTCTCTGCACTACTATACATGTCTTCTAACTGGTTCTACAGCTTGAAGTGCCACTGCTTCCCCATCTCAGTTCATCTTCCTCTGAAAAGACCTAACAAAAATATGATGTCACTTCCCTACTTAAATCCTTCAGTGGCTCTCCAAAAGCAATAGGGTTTCTCATGCTCCATTAGTGAACTGGCTCAACTTGGTCTAATCTCTTCTGTGGACATTTCCCCCACCATTCTACCTCTGTTTTAGTCTACTACAGCCTACCACAGCATTTTCATTTCCTTCAACATTCCATACTGGCCCCAGACTCTTGCCTCCAGTTAGATGACATTTATCTACTGTTCTGTGCACTAGCAAAATAGTGTGTTGAACAAGACAAGGCTTACCTCTAGGTGGGTTAGTTAGTAAACAAACACTGATCAATATGAACATGTCACAAAGTACTAAATGCCAAGAAGAAAAAAAGAGGAGGGTACCTTGATAGGGAGTGTCATAGGTAGCTTCTTTAAGCTGGATAGTCAGGAAAAGCTTCCTTGAGGAGGTGGCATTGAAATAGAAATTCTAATGACAAAAGGCCAGCCATGCAAAGAGTTGAGCAAGAACAGTGTTCCCTTAGCTATATGCTCCTCTAACATCCATCCCTCTTTTGTATAACTCCTCCTGCCATGTCTTCCTCCAGAAGGCTTTCCTGGAGCCTCCCAAACAGGGTCAGGTACCCTTCCTTATGTGGACCCAAAGCACCAAGCGTTTATCTCTATGGAAGCACTGTCAGTCCCTGTCAATCTTTCCTCTTTAAATTTTTAATTATACAAGCAATGATACATTACTACATTTTGGGGGGGGGGGAAGTGTTCAAAAATATAAGATTTCAGCCCCTCCCGACTCTTCCTCCCTCACAAAATCCCAGATTCCTCCCCAAAAGTAACCACTTCAGTTTAGTTTTTATCTGCCCAGATCTTTCCCTGTGCATTTACACGTGTATTATATACAGTAATATAATTGGGTTTGGGGTTTGTTTTTTGTTCTTTACACAGAAGATATCATTGTACATCTTCTCATGCAACTTTTTTTTCACTCAACAGCATTTTGGAGATCTTTCAGTATCTGTCTTTCTATGCGTCTACATCTTCCTCATTCTTTTAAACTGCTTCCAACATTCCCATGACCTGATCACCACAGCTTATTTCACCATTTTCTACTGATGAACAGTTAGATTACTTCCAGTTTTTCACTACTACAAACAAGACCACAGTCCACATCCTTGGCCATGCTTCTTTGTATATATGTGCTCATAGTTTTCTAGGATAGATACCTTAGAAGCAGAATTTCTAGCCAATTTTACTTGGTATTATCAAGTTGGCCTTCATGAAGGCTGAATCAATTTACACTCCAATCAACACTATGAAAGCACCCCTTTCCCCCATACCCTTGCTGGCAGTAGATATTATCAACCTTTTGACAATTTGATGAGTGAAAAATATTATATCATTGTTATTTTAATCTGCATTTCTTTGATGCAAGTAGTAAAGTTGAACATGTTTTCAAATACTATGGGTTACATGGCATAACCATTCTTATCCTTTGCTCATTTTTCTGTTAGGTTTTTTTCTGGTCTTTTTATTAATGATTTATAGTGTACAATATTTTCTTCCAGGCCTTTGTCTTTTTTACTTTATCTAATTTAACAGAAGTTAAATATTTAAAATTTAACATACATTTAAAAATTTCAAGCTGATCAAACTTTTCTTTATGCCTTCTGGTTTTGTGTATTGTACTTAAGAAGGCCTTCCCTATCACAACACTATAAACAATGTCCTTCTATTTTCTTTTAATAAATATAAAGTTTGGTTTCTTACATTTAGCCCTTTAATCCACCTGGAATTTATTTTGGAATATGGGCTAAAGTAAGGAGCAAACAATTTTACTCCCAAAAGAAAGCAAATTGTTTCTAAATCTTTTCACTCAAGTAGACAGAGAAGAATAAATGTGTTGCTCACTGGGGTCTGAGTGTGTAAAGCCCAAAGCAGTCCACCACAAGGCACAACTAACTTGTCTGGAAGTTTTGTTTTATCTCCAAAGCACATGTGATATGTTTGCTTCAGTATAAAAATTATCACCCCCTCCCCACGACACCTTTGAGTAAAACTGAAGCTCCAGGAAGATGTTCTGTATTTGCCTTGTAGTTTTTTGAACTCTCGATACATAGCAGTCAGTAGTGTGGATGTATATGCATACCCATTCTATTTGCCTGTTTACTGAATCATCTCATGCACTACACACGTGCGCACGCACACACACACACACACACACTACTGGTCATGCTTTCATCTCATTTGCCTGTTTGCCTGACTGACTGACTACTAGACTGTGAACTCTTGACTGCAAGAACGCTTCATCTTTACCCAGTGCTTAACAGAGTGCCTGCCTATGAATGTTCAATTGATATTTATTGAATAAATACTTTCCTACAAATAGACTTCAGCAGGGAATCTGCTCTAATATATGCTAAAATATTTATGAATAAAATGATACTTGGGATTTACTTAAAAATAAATAGGAAGTGGAGGGGGCAGTGGGAAGTATAGATGGAACAAGCTGGGTAATGGGTACATGAAGGTCTGGTACGCCAGTCTTTCTGCTTTTGCATATGTTTGAAATTTTCCCTAGTTAAAAAAAAATCTGCTCTAGTTTTAAGTCTTCTTCCTAGCAACCGTGATAATCTTATCACTCAAATACTCTGTAATAGAGAAAGAAAACGTATTATGTGCCATCCTGCGAAGCAAAGCTGTGTGATACTATAGTAATCCCTATAAAAGGGTGGATTTCAAATGTCAGACTGGGAACAAGCAAATTTAGACTATTAACAAAATTTCCACATGATTACATTTTGGTCTGATATATTAAATAGATCATGTTATGTTTCACTGTTTTCAACAACAGAACAATCCTGTTCAATGTTCTAATTGTATATGAAGATTTAGGAGTTAAGAGGTGTTTTAAATATGCAAGCAATTGTATGTGGAGAGAAAAGAATGTGCTTTTTAATATGCAAATATTAATTCAAAGAAATATACTGATTCCAAATAATATTGCTGGTTTCAGTGTTTCCTATTAATAAATTCTATGACAGAAGAAATTTAATTTCTGATTTAAAAACAAACTGCTTAGGCAAATGGATGACAGAATACTGGATGAGAATACAGCAAAAATAAGGCGGTTAGTAATTACTGTGCCAATGCTGGCAGTAAGATTATATTAATTCTCTAGACTAAGAAGTAGTAGCAAGAAATTTTATAGAAGATCAAATTTCCCATATATATATATATATATATATATATATATTCAGAATTATTTATAAACAGCCATGTACCAAAAATCTTCTTGAGCTGAGACCTCATTGTCAACTTACCTCTTCTGATCCTTCTTGAATGGAATAATATATAAAATAGTTTCCCAAATAAGCTCCTTCTGATTTGAAAACAGATCCATCTCCAGGATAAACCTCTATTGAGTTCATATTTTTGTGGGTAAGTCTAAGGAAAAGAAATAATCATTAAAAAAATATTTTTCTCATTGAGATTAACATATAGATGATGGCAATCATATTAAAAAAAAAAGGTAGTATGAGGGTTTTTTTTGCCTATCTAAAAAAAATGGATAATTTCATACTCTGCACATCAACCAGCTAAATTAATTTTTTTGAAAAAAATAAACAGAACACCCAGAATTGGTTAATGTATCTATTTCAACTAAGCTCAACTTCTAGAAGTCAGGCATCTTGTCTTACCATCCTGGTATCCCACTGCCACTCACAGTGGCTGGTACATTATAGTCATCAAAGCAATGCCCACTGCATAGGAGTTAAATATGACAACTCCAGAGCCTAAAAATAATCTTATTCTGTAAAAATGAAACTAGTAGAATCAATACCTGATGATGAGGTTAGCCATGTGTAAAAGGAACCACCCCTAAAAGAAGGTGACTGTACCTGGAGCAGCCAGGTACAGTCAAGGTATTGGGTATATAATTTATAAAAACTTAAGCCAAGTCAATTTTATCGAAACATATATGAAGAACATATTGTCAGAAGGGGGTGGGTTTAGGTCTCATTTGTTTATTTTTGTTTTTATTTCCATTACTCTAGGAGACAGATCCAAAAAGACATCACTGCAACTTATCTTGTGAACACTCTTTGGAGTGTTCTGCCTATATTTTCCTCTAGGAGTTTTATGGTTTCCAGTCTTACATTTAAGTCTTTAATCCATTTTGAGTTTATTTTTGTATATAGTGTTAGAGAATGTTCTAATTTCATTCTTTTACATGTAGCTGTCCAGTTTTCCCAGCACCACTTATTGAAGAGACTGTCTTTTCTCCATTATATAGTCTTGCCTCCTTTGTCATAGATTAATTGACCAGAGGTGCGTGGATTTATTTCTGCGCTTTCTATCCTATTCCATTGATCTATATGTCTGTTTTTGTGCCAGTACCATACTACTTTGATTACTGTAGCTTTGGAGTATAGTCTGAAATCAGGGAGCCTGATTCTTCCAGCTCCATTTTTCTTTCTCAAGATTACTTTGGCTATTTGGGGTCTTTTGTGTCTCCATACAAATTTTAAGATTTTTTGTTCAAGTTCTGTGAAAAATGCCATTGCTAATTTGATAGGGATTGCAATGAATCTGTAGATTGCCTTGGGTAGTATAGTCATTCTAACAATGTCGATGTTTCCAATCCAAGAACACGGTATATCTTTCCATCTGTTTGTGTCGTCTTCAATTTCTTTCATCAGTGTCTTACAGTTTTCGGAGTACAGGTCTTTTGTCTCCTTAGGTAGGTTTATTCCTAGGTATTTTATTCTTTTTGATGTGATGGTAAATGGAATTGTTTCTTTAATTTCTCTAAGTTTCTCTAAACCTAATTAAACTTAAAAGCTTTTGCACAGCAAAGGAAACCATAAACAAAACGAAAAGTCAACCTATGGACTGGGAGAATATATCTGCAAATGATGCTACTGACCAGGGATTAATTTCCAAAATATATAAACAGCTCACACAGCTCAATATCAAAAAAACAAACAACCCAATTAAAAAATGGGCAGAAGATCTAAATAGACATTTCTCCAAAGAAGACATACAGATGGCCAACAGGCACATGAAAAACTGCTCAACATTGCTAATTATTAGAGAAATACAAATCAAAACTACAATGAGGGTGCTTCCCTGGTGGCGCAGTGGTTGAGAGTACGCCTGCCGATGCAGGGGACACGGGTTCGTGCCCTGGTCCAGGAAGATCCCACATGCCGCAGAGCGGCTGGGCCCGTGAGCCATGGCCGCTGAACCTGCGCGTCCGGAGCCTGTGCTCCGCCAACGGGAGAGGCCACAACAGTGAGAGGCCCGCGTACCGCAAAAAAAACAAACAAAAAAAAACCCTACAATGCGGTATCGCCTCACACCAGTCAGAATGGCCATCATCAAAAAGATCACAAATAACAAATGTTGGTGAGGATATGGAGAAAAGGGAACCCTCCTACACTGTTGGTGGGAATGTAAATTGGTGTAGCCACTATGGAGAATAGTATGGAGGTTCCTTAAAAAACTAAAAATAGAGTTACCATATGATCCAGCAGTCCCACTCCTGGGTACATATCCAGAAAAGACAAAATCTCTAATTTGAAAAGATACATGCACCCCAATGTTCACAGCAGCACTATTTACAATAGCCAAGACACAGTAGCAACCTAAATGTCCGTTGACAGATGAATGGATAAAGAAGATGTGGTATAATATACAGTGGAATACCACTTGGCCTTAAAAAAGAATGAAATAATGCCATTTGCAGCAACATGGATGGACCCAGAGATTATCATACTAAGTGAAGTAAGCTAGACAGAGAAAGACAAGTATCATATGATATCACTTACATGTGGAATCTTAAAAAACAAAACAAAACAAAACAAATGAACTTATTTGTAAAACGGAAACAGACCCACAGACATAGAAAAGAAACTTGTGGTTACCAAAGGGGAAAGGGCAGGAGGGATAAACTGGGAGTTTGGGATTAACATATACACACCACTATATAAAAAATAGATAACCAACAGGGACCTACTGTATAGCACAGAGAACTATACTCAATATTTTGTAATAATCTCTAAGGGAAAAGAACCTGAAAAAGAATATATGTATATACATACACACACACATACATATATATATACACACACATACATATATACGTATAACTGAATCACTTTGCTGTACACCTGAAACTAACACAACATTGTAAATCAACTATACTTCAATAAAAAAATTTTTTAAATAAAAGTAACAAATAAAAACAAACAAAAAAAAAAAGAGAAAGGGGTGGTTTTCATGCAGGAAAAGGAGACCCCAAAGAACAAAAATTTCACAGATCTCTTCTAGCATTATTTACAGAAGTGAAACTCTGAATCTAGCCAACACTAGTATTCCAGTCACTAGCGAGGTGTACTTTGTGGTGGAATAGGCATAGTTCAATAGAATAGTGCAGACACAGAGGAGACATTCAGTGAGTATTTGTGGCATGAATAGTGGCTGAAATCTCTTCTAGGCTAGCTAACTTCTCCTCTAATTCCATGCTCAACAGGCATCCTTCTGACGTGACTAATTCAGATGACTAGATCCCCTATTGCTTAGAAGGGGTATCCTAAATAACTGGCAAAATATTTCATTCACAAGCAAAACTAATTCCTCATTGGCTTTGGAGTTGTCACAAAAATCTTGTGAATATGGTTAATGTGAATTAGTCACAAGACATCTATGTGGACTAATAAAATTATTAATTAAATTTTATTCAGTTTTAATTAAATTTAAATTTAATTTAATTTAAATTTTATTAGTACACATAGAGATCTGTAAAACTCAGGGCCAAACACAGGAGAATGGTGGCCCCAGGCAAAACTGTACTCACGGGGGAGTCTATCCACAAGGGTAGTCCTATACCCTCTGTGACATTGCTAAACAGCTCCAAATGCAACACAAGTGCCTTACCTATAGGTAATACCCTTGTACCAAACCACTTTCACTAGTTCAGGATAGGAATATTCTTCTTCAACAAACTGTCTCTGTGAAAGCGAATCACAAAACTCCCACCTGCGAAGGACAAAATACAAGCTATTAATTCTGGTTGCCTAACATAATTACCTTCAGAAGTGAACAGAACAGTGCTACTGTAGTAAGATTTATTTCTTGCTTAAGTCATTAGATCAAAGAAAAGTAAAAATTAATATGAAAGTGCATTAATGAAATTTAAAACTACAGTTGACCCTTGAACAACATGGGGGGTGGGGGCACTAACCCCAGTGCAGTAGAAAACCGAGTACTGTTATCTCTGCCTCAAAAACAAAGGAGTTTATAAATGACTCACCCAAGGGCAGGAAGCTGAAACAGTTTGGATAAAATCAGCACTCAAACCCTAGTTCTGTTGATTCCCCAAATTGTGATCTCTAATCGAACACAAACTTTCCCCCCATACTTAGTTCATTTAAAGATCTGAAAAATAAAAATACAGCACTATATTTATTGAAAAAACCTGTGTATAAGTGGACCCACACAGTTCAAATCCGTGTTGTCCAAGAGTCAATTGTAATCTTATTTTTCCATGTATTTTTCTTAGTATTTTTAATAATCTCATTATTGAATCTCAGCATAAATACATAAATTAAGTTTCACTAACCTTTAAAATTTAGGATTCAAACAATAAATATTTACTGAAATATCTATGGTGAGCCAGGCACTGTGCAATACACACTATGGATATGACACCCAAGAAAGCAGACATGGTCCCTGCCCTCAATGGAGATTCTATCTAGCAGGGACATAAAGTAGTAGATACTGAACATAAAGAAAAGAGAATTACTGTATGCTATGGGATTGTATAGAGCCTAATCCAATCTAGGGACTTCAGAATAATGACCCTAAGGAAGAAAGGCTTATTTATGCTAAGACCTGAAAATGAGCATAAGTTAGCGAGCTGAGAGAGATAAAAGGAGTGTTCCTGGCATGGAAAGAGTAGGTGCCATGGTAAAAGAAAGCTTGGGCAAGAATTCTATGGACCGCAAGAAGTCCAGTTTAGCAAGAGTAGAGAAAGCAAGGGCAAGAGTGGTGAGGATTACAGACCCACGAAAAGACCATATAACAGAAGGCCTGTTAAGCCATGCCTAAGGATAATGGATTTCAATCAAGGCCAGTGGCAAGTTATTGAAAAACTGTTAATTTAGAAGCATAAATCTCTTTTGATGTGTACTTATAATACTGGAATTCCCAATTCTAACTACATAATCATGACAAGGCTAAAAATCATTCCCATTTTTTGTTTCCAATAACAAATATGTACTCAGAAGACTACCTGGGATCATATCCCAATTCTACAAGCACTAGGTGTGAGACTGTGCTTGAGTTATTCAACATTTCTGTGTCTCAAGTTCCTCTACAAAATGGGGTTGATAATAGTACCTACCTCATAGGGTTACTATGAGGACAAAATAGGTAAAGTATAACCATGCCTGGCACAAAGTAAGTGCTCTGTGTTAGCTATTATCATTATTACTACACTACTTATGCAGAGTTCATGTTACAAATCTATAACCATTAGGCTATTCATTTCTTAGTCAAGGTAAAAGGTCTGTACCTAGCCAGCCAGAAGCCTCTCCATGTTTATCCCTGTTGAAGATGGACACATTTACAGTCAGTTAACCAAAGACAAGGGTGTCCTCTGAGGCTATGTATGAAAGAAAGAACCCATGATCACACACGTCAGGTCCATGCTCCAGCAACAGAACTAACAGGTTCCACTGAGCAGCAGCGGATGCTTCCCAGGGCTCGCTCCCACAGAGCTCTGTGCCGTCACTTACCACACTTTAATAATCTTTTCAGTGATAGTGACCCTTACTAGACTCTAAGCTCCTAGAAAGCAGGGACTCTTCATCTCTACAGTCTCCATGCTTAACAAAGTACCCAGTGTAGTCAGCCTTCCACCAACATCCAATGCATGGATGTGAAGTAAGAAATATAAGCAACACATTAGCTGGGGACATTATTTACTATCCGTTACAAGCAAAGTTTTAGATCAACTGAACTTTCCTTATGAATGGTATCAGATGATTCCGAAAGAAAAATGATCCTTAGGTAGGTCTGGTTCTGACAAAAGCATTAGGACAAATAAGTCATTCTTCCATTACCTGTGCAGGTGTGGGACAGGACAGCTTAGTAACAGGGCCCTGGGAAGAACAGAAACTTCTTTTCCTCTTTCCTCAGAAATGTCAAAAGTTAAAATTCTCTTCTGGGTGATATCTGCATCAGTTCCAGACATATTGCTGATTTTATTATGAAAACGAAGTGCTAAAGACAAAGGATATTCCCATTCCTCCGGACAGGAGGCCACTGACCAGCACTGCTTTACCCACGTGTATACACACGTGCCTTTTGTCCCAGGTGAAGACAGTGCCTCCCTCCCTTCAGTTCCATTTACACAACTCTTCTCTAAAGGTTCTTTGGATTTCGTGATCTGATAATAAAGTTCATTTTCTTTATTCTTCAGTCTCTGTCCTGAAAAACTTCCATATGTACAGATTTTGCCAGCTTTTTCAACTAGTTTGTCCTTTTTGGCTTTATTATTTTTTTCTGACAGTACTATAGATGAGTCTGGCTTCTGGCTTACTTTACACAAAAAATGTACTGTAAATTCATGCTGAGATTTGGGCAGGCAAAGGTATGCGTGACCATCTAAAGATGATATCTTCACGGTGCCACTCTGCATACATATCATGCCACCATCAGTATCAAGATCGGGCCATCTTACTTCTGAGATGTCAGTGAAGATACGCTGAGTTGAGGGGAGAAAAAGGGATGGTATTTTCTGTTAACAGTCCAATTTTTTCCATACATTTGATACTTACATATTACTTAAGAAAGCTCTTAAAGTTTTGTGTTCTACTATCTAGAAAGAATGAAAAATGTCAGCCTATATATGGTTTTCCAGAGAGCACTTGATATTGTTAAGATTATTTCTTAGAAAAGTAGACATAAAACACACACACACACACACACACACACACACACACTCTGACAAAAAGGACAGAAAAGAAAAATCATCTTGGTTATATTTAATGTTAAACGTATTTTGATTTAAAGTGTACACTGCATCAGAGATAAATAGATTTGCAGCCCCTCTCCAAAAGTCTACTCTGAAAAAGAATATAAATGAGGGAAGACCAGCACTACTGTATGAAAAGCAATCATAACCTAAATGGTATGGAACCAGCATAACAATCACTGACAGAACGATTTAGAGAACACAGAAACAGACTCAACCGTATCTCAAAATGTTACATACGATAACATAAGTTTTTCAAAACAAGGGGGGAAAGGGAGAACTACATATTTAATAAATGGTACTGAAATTATTGAACAGCATTCGGGAAATGCTACCTCAAAGGATTATCACATGGACTAAACAGGATAACATGTATAAGGTACTCGTCCTACATAGCACCCGGTACAGCACACACTAAATTCTGGGTGCCTTAAAGGGTAACATTTAAAAAAACCGAATTACTCAAAGGTAAACTGATCTGGACCAACAGCAAACAGATTCATAACAGGTAACAGTGCCTGTTGCATCTTTTCATATAAGATAAAAATGGCAAGTGTCACATAACAGTCTTTTAATCAGTTAAGCTTTTGCCAATTTACACATTTCACCTTCCATTTATATAAAACCTTAGATTTACGAAAACTACTGTCAAGAAAGCCTGGTAAATTTACAGTGCTATCTATGTGTACAGATGTTAGTGTGCTAAAATTAAGGGAAGTATTCATACCATTTGCAGCAACATGGATACAACTAGAGATTACTGTTCTAAGTGAAGTAAGTCAGAAAGGGAAAGACAAATACCATATGATATCACATATATGTGGAATCTAAAGTGTGGCACAGGGCTTCCCAGGTGGCGCAGTGGTTAAGAATCCACCTGCCAACGCAGGGAACACGGGTTCGAGCCCTGGTCTGGAAAGATCCCACATGCCGCGGAGCAACTAAGCCCATGCGCCACAACTACTGAGCTTGTGCTCTAGAGCCCGTAAACCACAACTACTGAGCCCACGTGCCACAACTACTGAAGCCCATGCGCCTAGAGCCCATGCTCTGCAACAAGAGAAGCCACTGCAATGAGAAGCCTGTGCACCGCAACAAAGAATAGCCCCCACTCGCCACAACTAGAGAATGTCCGCGCTCAGCAACAAAGACCCAATGCAGCCAAAAAGAAAATAAATTAAAAAAAAAAAAGAAAAAAAGAGTCATGTACCCCAAGGTTCATGGCAGCACTATTTACAATAGCCAGCACATGGAAGCAACCTAAGTGTCCATCGACAGACGAATGGATAAAGAAGATGTGGTACATATATACAATGGAATATTACTCAGCCATAAAAAGAAACGAAATTGAGTTATTTGTAGTGGGGTGGATGGACCTAGAGTCGGTCATACAGAGTGAAGTCAGAAAGAGAAAAACAAATACCGTATGCTAACACATATATATGGAATATATATGGAATCTAACACATATATATGCTAACACATATAAATGGTTCTGAAGAACCTAGGGCAGGACAGGAATAAAGATGCAGACATAGAGAATGGACTTGAGGACGCAGGGAGGGGGAAGGGTAAGCTGGGACGAAGTGAAAGAGTGGCATGGACATATATACACTACCAAATGTAAAATAGATAGCTAGTGGGGAGCAGCTGCCTAGCACAGGGAGATCAGCTCGGTGCTCTGTGATCACCTAGAGCGGTAGGATAGGGAGGGTGGTAGGGAGACGCAAGAGGGAGGGGATATGGGGATATATGTATATGTATAGCTGATTCACTTTGTTATACAGCAGAAACTAACACAACATTGTAAAGCAATTATACTCCAATAAAGATGTTAAAGGAAAAAAAAAGGCAGAGAGAGAAACTATATAACTTCTGTGTCTCAATGTACAAAATATCAAAACACCCTAGTCTGTGGAAATATATAGGCCTATGTGTTCTATAGCAACATGTCTATGCTCAAAGTGTCATGAAGAAAAAGACTAAATATTAAACTACCTGTTTGTAATTACTTGTCCTCAAATATTTGTTTTAAAAATGAAGTTTAAAAAATATTACCATTTTCCTTTCAGAAGGTATGATGCTTTCAGATAAAAAAGGGCAAGTAGCAAAGGAGTTACGGAAATCTAGGGCTCGCTGTAGCTGCTCCTACAAAAAGAAATACAAAGTAATTTAAAAAAATGATTTGAAAATCAATTTAGAATGACAGTAATCTGGAATACTAACTACTTTCCATATTCTGGCCACCTCAACAATATTTTAGTATTAAAAAGAGTAGTTTTTTTGTCATCTTTACTTACTCGGTACGTGCTAATAACAAAGTGTGTCCTTTGGCGAATTCTTTCTGGTTGTTGTAAAGGATGTGCTGAAATAGGAGGTGCTTTTTCAAATAAAAATTCAGAGCCACAGGGAGAAAGCTGCAATCTGGAACCATCAACATATTGTACCTCCACTGAGTCATCTTCATAAAGTACTATTTGCACTTCAGCCGCCATTATTGTGACTATGGCTAAAATGTCCTTCCAAGGCAAAGGCTGAGGAAATAAGAGATACAGTAGCACCAAATAGTTCTCTTCATGTACAAAAGTTCTATCAAAATAAGTGAACATAAGCAAAACACAAAATTGCCATTGCATTTACTTTTGTTGAATGAAAAGTGATTATCTTGCTATACACGCTTATGTGATCTGAATGCCTTCATTAACCCCAAGGGCTCTACTTCAATGTGGAAGATAACTGAGAGGGAGATGGCCCACCAAGTTATAAATGCCCTTATCATTTTAGTAGCTTTACTTCTGAAGTTTAACTTCTGAAAATTGTATGCTCAGTATCTCATTTCAAATAACAAGCAAATTCCATCTTTGCAAAAAGAATACAGCAAATCATTTGTAGGACGTGTAAAAGGCAGGCCAAAAGTAACTATTAGGCCTAAGGGAAAAGAACACCTGGATTCTTGCCCCCAGCCTGGCATTAAGGAAGTAGATCCATGTCACGACTCAGAAAGCTAATTAACCAGCTAGTGTCTTAGATTCATCCTTATTTCATTGAATTCAATTTCCTCTTCTTTACCTCTGAAATGTCTCTGTATTTTCACTTACGCTTTCCATATAGGTGTGACGGAAGGGGAATGGAGGGCTGGGTTCCAACTCCACTAGCTCATAGCTATAAACCACAGGTTGGCTGGGTTGGTTGTTTCCTTATTTGTAAAATGGGGGTAACAGGATCGTTGTGAGGATTAAATGAGACAACATGTATGACAGTGCCAGTAGTGTGAATGTTGCCTTGTAGGAGCTCAGTAAATTTTATGATTCTTTCTAAAACTAACTCCATCCCCTTCTAGGACATCATCTCCTTCTGTTACTCAGGTGATAAAGTTTCACCTGTCAGAAAAAAAAAAACTTTCCATGGATACCACTTTCCCCAGTTTACCTCTATTTCCTACCAATAAACTTCTCAGGTATAGTATCCACTCAGTGTCAGCTTTCTCTCCCAACAATCTTCGATGAATTGCAATCCAGCTTTCTCCTCCACCTCTCTACTGAAATTGTTTCACAACGGTTACCAGTATCTTCCTATACCCAATGACTTCAGTCTTCACCCTACTAAACTGGTCAACGTGTGACAATGTTGTCTATCTTCTCTTGCACCAAACTTCCTCTTCCTCTGCCTCTTATTTTTTTTAAAAAAGGGTGGGGGTGCACCATGGTCCCTCCTCCACCACCCCCTCTATATCTATTGCTCTTTTTAGTTTAATCATTCCTTTTCTTCACCATTCTCTCAAATCAAGGATTCATCAGCACCTGACCTTAGTTAGTCCCCATTTCATCTCTTCTTACTAGATACACTCATGTTGCTTTTATGCCCACCCTTGCTTTTTAAAAAAAAGCTTACCCCTTTTCAATGTATATAATTAGCTACATATGATATAGCCTATAATCTTTTGCAGAATATGTCAGCATATAAGTAAATATTAAACCAATATTAAATGATCTCTCCTGAGGAAATTCACACAACTTTAATCATTTTCTTTCTCTAGAGAACTTCCAAATCTACCTGACCTCTCTCCAGAGCTTCCAGTTGCCTGCAGGACCTCTCTTCATGTCCCTGTTCCACAGATACATCAAACTCCACATGACTAAAATGGAACTTAATCACTCCCACCAAAAGCAGACTTCAGTAATACCCCCTAATTCACTTTCACTCAACCCCCGGAGGCCAGTCTACAAATGGTAGCTAGAGGGACCTTTTAAAATAAAAATGAGATCTAACCCTTCTTGACTTACAACCCAACATTTGCACTTAGACAAAACCTGAATAATTTTTTTAAATTAATTTATTTTATTTATTTATTTTTGGCTGCATTGGGTCTTCTTTGCTGTGCACGGGCTCTCTCTAGTTGCAGCGAGTGGGGGTTACTCTTCGTTGTGGTGCGTAGGCTTCTCGTTGCGGTGGCTTCTCTTGTTGCGGAGCACAGGCTCTAGGCACGCGGGCTTCAGTTGTGGCACACCGGCTCAGTAATTGCGGCTCACGGGCTCTAGAGCACAGGCTCAATAGTTGCGGTGCATGGGCTTAGTTGCTCCTTGGCATGTGGGATCTTCCCGAACCAGGGCTCAAACCCGTGTCCCCTGCATTGGCAGGTGGATTCTTAACCACTGCACCACCAGGGAAGCCCCAAACTCAAATTCTTAACCACAGCCTATAAAAGCCATACAACCTGCCCCCATCTACCTCTCCAATGTCATCTTCTACCTCTCCAATGTCATCTCCTAACCCTCTCCTCCTTTTTCAGGACAACTTAGCTACGTTGGCCTTTTTAATGTTTTTTTAAGAAAGCTGTATCACATGTCAGAACCTTTGCACTGTTCCTTCCGCCTAGCATGTCCTTTCCCTGGCTCATCACATCGCTGGTTCTTTGGCACCGTTAATATCTCAGCACAAATATCTAACTTCCTCAAAGGCCTAACTTGACCAGTTAAAGTTGTTCCCAACCATCTCCCAATCACTTTTTAACCATTTCATCGTTTTTCTTCATAATATCTATTACTATCAAAACTGTTCTATTTATTTACTTGCTTTTAGTCTTTTCCCACTAGGACATAAACTCAATCAGAGCAGGGCCCTCATCTCTCTTATTCACAGTTCTATCCCTGGCACCTAAAACAATACTTGGCCAATAATAAGGGTGCAATAAATTTTTTTAAATGATAAATATATAAGTAATATATAAGAATATATAAGTGAATTTTAAAATTCTTGCTCCTCCTGAATTTGCAATTTGAGTTAATGGCATCTCAATGTTAGCAATATTTGATTTCTCAGTGTTTCCCTTTACATCCAAGTAAGAAGTCCTGTTGATTTTGTCAGTCTCCCCCATAAATCTGGCTCCTCCTTTTCCTATTTCAGGCCTCAACTTTCCCCTCCATTCCTGTAGACTGTCTGGGACCTTTTTCCAATTTTTCCCCTCTCCAATCCATTTCCAGCACTGCCCTCACAAGTAACTTTCCACAACCCGACCATACCAACCGCTTTACATCACTTGTCTACATACTTGTTAAACGGCAATAAATATTCATAGCAATAAATATATTTATATTGCAGCTATACGTATCATATATATGCATGATATCAACTTGCTATTTCTGAAAAAAACAAGTGCAGATACACAGTTGGAAAACATATTTTCTGATAACAACTGGAAAAAGGTCTTTATCTTTAGCCAAGTTTTCTTTTTTTTTTAACAGCTCATTGGGGTATAATTGTTGTTTAGATTATTTAAATAATCAAGCATACACAAGAAACAGTAGAAATGTCTAAAGTTCCTGGCATCATAAAAAAAATAATCCAGCTCCAACCTAAATTTCCAGCGTCATCTCTACTGTCTTATTTCTGTTTGTGTTTTCACTACCCAGCACATTACGTCCGAGTACATTTAACGATCAAAAAGCCACAAGTTTGTTCTTGACATAAACGGGAACCTCATTTTTCAAAATGCGCTATCTAGTTACAGAAAAAGCCTCATCAAAACAACAACCAACATCTTAAACTCACACAGCAAGCAGTTCTGAGCTGAAAAGTCGTGGAAATGAGGACAATCAACGGCCCTTGTGCTTTTAATTTGCCAAAATGGTCGGAGTAGAAACGTCTGCGCCCGCCCACGACTGCTTCTCGAGGAATTTGTTTTGAGTTTAACAAATTACCAGCAAGTTATGTTTCTCGATGAAAGAAAACAATCATAACCGAGAGGAATAAGGCCACAGGGAGAGTATTTGGCGGTCTTTCGTCGAGTCAGAGGAGAGGAGGAGCAGCGGCAGCAGCATCGACAGCTCTGACCCCGGAGAGGAAGCGAAGGCAAACAGCTGCGATTCAAACCTTCCCGCATCCTAGAAAAGCCGCCCCACTTTACAAATGAAGACCGGAAGTCCCGACCTGACCCCGCCCTCCGCTCGCATCGGGGGACGGGACCGGAAGTAGGGGAGGCGGGGGCTCCCAGTCCGGAAGCTGGTCCGCTCCTCTCCGGTTTTTACTTCCGGTACCCCACAAGGAGCTGGTCTGACCTGGTTGTTTCAAACCTGGTTGGGACTTGCATTCTGATGGTCTATCCGAGATAGCTACAGAGGTATAATTTAGTGGAGTAATGGTTATTTAAATAATCTAAGCAATTATACGTCAATAAACCTGTTAAAAAAATTGGGCAAAGATAGAGACCTTCTTTTCCTAGTTTGGTATCAGAAAATGACTTTCAACAGTTTCTCTGCACCTTTTAAATCTTTTTCTACAATGGCGAGTGGACGCGTCTGCTATATTTATTTATTTCCATTAAAACAAGTATTTATGGAGAGCCTTTTACGTGCTGGGCGTGCTGGGGATAAAGCAGCGAATGAGACCCAGGGTTGAGGATGGGGGCTAGAGATCAACTGGAAAGAAACGACTGGACAATAATTTGATCACAGTTGTGATAAGTGTTCCTAAGATAAAATACAGAGGTCTGTGGGAGTATGTAGTGGGCAGACCTAACCTAGACTGAAGAAATATTTTCACTGAAATCCAAAGGCTAAGTAGGTGTTAGCCAAGTAGAGGGGGAAAGTGTTTCAAGCAGAGGTAACAGCCTTGTGTTAAGGCTTTGAGGCCCAAAGAAAGATCTGGCCCCTTAAAAGGGCTGAAAAAAAAAGCCAGTTTGGTTTAAGAATGATTAAAGAGAAGAGAGAGGCTCTTCCTAGGGGAGAGAAGCCTGAAATTGGGCTATAGAGGTAGGTAGTACAGATTTATGAATTATGGACTTTATCTTAATAGCAGTGGTAAACTATTACAAGGGCTTTAAGCAAAAGGTGGCAGCACTAAGGGATTGAAGTATAGCTCCTTAAATTCATCTCCATTTTTAAAAGTCTGATATGCAAATTGACCTCAATCTTATGTAAAGTGTAATAAGGGCATCCTCAGACAGCCATGTTTTCATTGATCTGTAACATCAGTTTTATTACACAGTGCTAACTTAGGTCCTATCCAACTCCCACCTTTTCCCCCTCCAGTGTATAAAAACCTCCTATATATAAATTCTGTCTACTACAGAGGGGTTTTGTGGTGCTTTTTGTACTTTAGAAAAATTCCTGGAACTGCTGAATAGAGAGTGGATTGTAGGATATGAGAACAGACGTGTGGAGCCCAGTAAAAGGCTTTTGAAAGAGCAAAAGGAGAGATGACGGCAGTTCAGACTCAAGACTGGACAGTGAGAATGGAGAGCATAGCTCCAAGAAATATTCAGGAGATCAACTCTTTGGTCTTGGGGATGATTTAAGAGTAGGAGTTAAAAACAATTCCAGGGGTTTCTGATTGGGGAAAGTGAGTAGGTGTCAGTGCGATCAACGAGGGGGGAATGTAAGAAGAGTAAATTTAAGGAATAGTATGACAAATTTTGTGAGACCTCCCAGTGGAAACAAGTTAGTAAAGGTCTAGAATCAGGAGATTAGAAATAAATATGGAGGTCAATGGTGATAGATGCTAACTGAAGCTTCAGAAGATGAAATAGTCCAAGGATATTGTGACATGAGAAAAGAATGCTTAGGACTGAGCTTTGAGGAACACCAGTTCTTACAGATTAGGTAAGGGAAAAGAATCCCCCCAAACACTGAGAAACAGCACAAAAGCTAGAAAGCAAGCTATTGTATTCTAGATGCCTGGGTGTATTCAATTTTGGTGTCTTGCCTAGAGAACAACCTAAAGAATGAAGTCTTTATTCAACTTAATGACATGGACGTCATTATTGACTAATGAGGTCTGTTGTATATAGTGGTGGCAGAAGCTATAGTGGGTTTGAAGAGCAAATGGGTAAGGAAATGGAAAAAAAAAGGGAAAACACTTGAGAAGTCTGACTAGGAACCAAAGATAGGACTGTAATTGGAGAGAAATGTAAGGGCCAGATTTCTTTTGATGAGAGGAATGGCATGGTCAACAGCTCATGCAAAGGGCCGATGCAGAAAGATTTTTAAAAAAATTACAGACCAAGTAACTATATAGAGTTCATGAGAGTGAGAGGGCATGGGATTCAAGCACATGTTGAATAACTGGTTTTTAATAGGTGAAGGGATACTTCTTATACAGGAAGAGGAGGAATGAAGTACATGCAGATGCATTTGTATACATTTGTCTGGTGGCTTTTTTTTTTTTCCAGTGAAGCAAGTCTTTAGGGAATAAAGGGGCAAGCAGAGTAGAGAGGGTTTGAATTAAACAAGAGAATGAAGAAATAGTAAGATTACAGGCAGCACTGACAGCCTAAATGAAGGTGGTGACTATGAATTTATAGCAGTACAAACCTACCAGAAACATGACCTCCAGATGCTTGGATGCAGCAGCAGTGTCCAGTTCGTCCAGGGCTGGCATTGCTAGGCTTACACAATACAGCAGTAGCATACATGACCTTAAATTATTTACATCTGCTAAAGTCTAGTCAGCCAAAGACCACCAGGCTCAAGCCTGTAGTCTGACAAAATATTTGACATGTAAGGAAGGAAGCACACTTCAGAGGAAACACAAATGGTGCTCTCCACAGGGGGAGGAGGGCGTCATTGTTGTAAGGTTTGGGTTCCTGCTGAAGAATTCTGAGGAAGCTCTAAGGGAAGAGAGACCACTTCCTGGTTGGATGCTGTTTCTGCACAGGATTAGAAGCAGGGTTTAACTGAGGGACTGGCTGTTATCATGAGGTGAATGCAGTTTAGCAATTGGGTATCCCCAGTAAAAGATGGGAGAGGATAGCAAAGCAGGTCTGGAGACATCATTGTTAACAGAGCAGCGGTCACACAAAGAGGTGGTCATGGCCTTGGGGAAAAATGTTTCCTGTTAAATTTGCAGCTGGCTTTACCTGTGTCTGTCCTCCCAGACTGATTAATAGGCAGGGCTACTTCCTTCTTTTTCAGTACGAGCTAATTTTCAGTCCTTCAGTCCTGGACAGGTTTTTACTCTTTTACACCAAGCATCCTCTCTCGATAAATGTGACGATTTTTTTTATTAAACAAATTACAACTTAATCCATACTCTACTGTCCTCCCTACAGGTAAGATTGAATGAAATACCTAATCATAGAATTGCCCCTGCTTTCTGACAGCATCTAAGCTAGTGTACCTCCGGTTTCTTAGGCCCTCTCCCAAATTATCCAACCAAAGCCCAAATCCTATAAGTTCTTTTGAACACCCTCTTACTGACATACCCCACAGTTCCCCATGCTGTAAATTCTGCCTCACGACAACAAGTGCTAAACCCAGCACATTCAGGTACAGGTATGGTCCTGATAGTCTTTGGCTGAAGAGCACTGGCAATACAGAGGATCTGAGTTGATGACACAACTGCCAGGTTCAGACTAATATTTGCACTTTGTTACCAGACACAAGACTAACATTCACTGGCACCTTTGTGTCCTTGCTCATTGAAGATTTGTACTAATAGTCCCTGTTACAAAAGACTTACTGATCCATATTTCTGTTGAAGATATGGCAATCCTAAAGGCCAACTATCGTGGCACACGGCCAACTCTTCCTTTCAGTATGTACTGTTGCAGCTTTAAAGCATGTCCACACATTCTTTGAAGGCCTTCTATCTGATACAGCTTTATAGCAAGCGTCTCACTTAGAACCAAGACACTGCAGCAGAAGTAATGCTGCACGCAGCTTCCAAGGCAGCTTCTTCCAGGTCTTTTGCAATGGCCCCTCAACACCCAGCTGCCATGTTGCAAGAAGCCCAAGCCATGTGGACAGGCCTTGTGTAGGTGGGTCTGGTCGAGTGATGGCTTCAAGTCATCTCAGCCCGGTCATCAATGTGAGTCAAGACGACTCCAGATGATTAGAGCTTCCAGCTGTTGAAGCCACCCCTCGTCCTTAGTTTTCCCAGCCGAGGCCTCAAAACACTGCAGGATAGAGAAAAGCCACCCCTATTGTACCCTGTCCAAATTCCTGAGCCACAGAAGCATGAGCATAATAAAACGCTTATTGTTTGAAGACACTAAGTTTGGGTGGTTACTTAAGTAGCACTAGTAATCGGAACATACTGATCCTGTTGGTAGCTGTTTTGAGTACAGCAGTAGTTGGTGACAGTGAGCTAGCAGATAAACTGGGTGGTTATGCACAGAGCGACTGGGCAAAGTTTAAAGTATATTCAGTTAGCATATTCTTGGCCCCAGTCTAATGTCGGGCCCCTTCCCTACACCCGCTTCCCCCTATCCCTCAGACTTACAGTGAGCACAATCTTTAGAGAACTGCAGATTAAAGTACTAGCCACCATGTTAGGAGCCTGAAAAAAAGAATTCTGACTATTACAATTTCCAAAAGCCCCAATTACATACATATTTCTCTTTTATAATAAGGACACTAAAGAATTTTAATGTTTTATAATTGCTGTTTTTTTTCTGAGTAGATGTATATGTTATTGAAACTCTTGTTCAAAGAATATCTTCTATCCTAGTATAGTTTCTCTGATTTCAAATCTGAACTTTATGATGTCATGTAAAAAAGTTCAACAGAAACTCTTTAAAATACCAGGATACCACTCCAAAAACTTAGAGGAAACAAAACTATTTAAATTTTATTTTTAAAGTCTAATTTTAATCCAGACCAAACAAACAAGCAGAAAAGTGAGAAAGCTGATTGTATAGGCAGACACAGATGTACCAAATGTAAAACAGTGGGTTATTAACAGAACTATTTACATGCATATTTACAAGCAATCCTTTTGTACATTAAGTTTTACTTTTAGTTAGTTGGAAAAAGATTTTTGACATTGGTAAAAATATTAATTAGGTAGGGCTGAGGTGGTACCACATTATAGTAATAAAAGTATTAGAAAAGTGATTCTCAAGGTATAGCAATTATAAAGCAGATGAAAACTTGAGTGACAAAGATCTAGTAAAATTCTCTAG